AGACAGTCTTGAATATCTGTGGGCGTGAAAAAACCAAAGCAGAGGATACATGCCTCCAAGACTTGGTTCACATGATATCTCCCAAGACCCTGCAGAAGAAGATATCTTTCCTTGGTTTTAAAGGTGACAGCGAGCAGGAGCTTATCACAATTCTGCAACATGGGCTGCTCTGTCAACATCCTGCGTCATGGGTGTCAAATGGAAAACAGGCGCAAGGTTCCACCAAGGGCCGAAGTCACAAGAAGAGCACTGGGAAAGTTGATGGTGCAGCACGAAAGAGGAGGAAGGTCACAGTGCCTGAAGATGAGTCTTCTCCACAAAGCTGATGTTGAAGGTTTTCAGTTTTCAAGACACATACAGCAGATTGATACTCTCAACGCCATCCCACAGTGTACTTCCTTTCAAGTCCGAGCAAACCCTGTGCAAACCATCGTTGAAGCCAATATTATGTATGTCTTCCCGGATCCAACTATGCAAAATAGGTTCTTGCACTATTCACCATGGCTGCCTTGACCAATCAACTGTAGTTACGTTGCATCTGGTTGGTAGGCTGCGAAGTGGACAATCTAAACATAGTTCGTCCTGCCAAGGCCTGCAAGAAGGATGCCGGACGCGATGTCCGTCGATCTGGTAACAGATCTAAATGTAGTTTTGACCTACCAAGACCAGCCATTGTAGAGTTGCCGCGGGTGGGATGAAGCTTAGCAAGTCCATACAAAGGGAAGGGCACTGGACATTCGTAGAAGCCCTCTCTTGGTTCCGTGCTCTCTCGCTTTGCAATGGCCTACTCGTTGCGGAGACTGTTGTTGGGACTTACTTCAGTGAGCACCAGTACAGCCAGTTGGGAACCAATGCACGAGAATAAGAAGGGTCGCCTTCGAGGTTTCAGTTTTTCGGTTGGAAACTCCCCGCCCTCCGTCACCGGCGAAGCAAAAACAACCACTGTGAGGACGGTGGGGCCACCGAAGCCCATGGATACCACTACCGGTGTCAGGTGGGCCAGTTCACTCAGCTCCCAAGCACCTCCAACCTTCTGAATACAAACCTAGCAACAAGCTTATGACTCGGGATGCATCCAGGGTTTTCGACCGTAGCAATCTCCAGGCTTCCCGGGTCCTGGTTCCTCCTTAGCAATGGGTGCACATGTGTCGTTGTCCAGCAAGCTAGTAGCTAGCATGCATAGGTCAATCGTATTCAATGCATTCTCTATGGTTCTTAGGCTATTCGAGAGTGGGTGTGGGGGCTTGCAATCACAGTCAAACTGTGGCGTCCCTGCGCTCAGGATCACATGCTGCGATTTGCGGTTTTGTGCTAGAGCTCTCTTCCCTGTTCCGCTTTTCTTATGAAATTTTCTGACAGCACTAACTGGTCCTGCTGTACATTTTGTCGTTTGAGTTGAATTTAAAAAACAGACCTGAGGCTCAGGAATCTCCTTCCCTTCTATTTTGTGGCACGCTTTGGCACTCCTGGCCTGTGCCTGCACCACTCCTTCAATGGTTGCACTGCTTTTCCCCATTTCCATACTCCACTGCAATCGCATATTGTCACGCGTGCATTGGATGCACTCCTTCAAGAGCGGATTGTCCAACCAAGACGCCACTTCGGCACGCAAGGCATCGTTCCACTGGGCATGATTGCTGCCGGGAAGAAAGTCCTTGACGTGTTCCCACAGCTCCGGCTTTGGTAAGAGAATGACCCCCAGTGCGCGCACGTGTGGTCTCGCTTGTGGACGGCATTATGTTCAGACCTTGGAAGCTCTTGTCAAGAGAGGAGGTAATAAAAGATTGGAAAATGCCGATGCATGGGTCTGGGACAAGCGCCTTCGTTTCAACCGTCCCCGCAATGACTTCTCGCCAAGATCCTGACCAACAGCAAACCACTTTCCCCAATGGCTTGCATACACCCAACGACCTTGCGCTCGTGTCTGTGTATGTTTGCTTATTATGACTGCAAAAGCATGTTGGTGACCAGAGTCTTCTTTCCTTCTTTTAACACGTCGTTTTGCATGGCAATCATCTTACACTCGTCCGTTGATTCCGTGGAAGACTTGGATTCTTGATGATGACTGTACATGATGTTGCCAAAAATGACAGTGACAACGACGAGATCATTCATCCAAATGATGGCACTTCGGACAAAGAACGACGATTGCGGATCACTGCCTAGAATGACCAGGACGGGGAGGCCAATGACAAAAATTTGTAGATTAGAAATCATGGCAATGCTCAAATATTTGCCCTCATGGAACTTGGTAGGAATCTTGATGGTGTTGGGAGGCAGAGTATGAAGAAGAGGAACAGTTTGTGAGATACAAAGACGCTGCATGCAGCCAGCGGCCACTTCCCACACACCGTACTATGTCCATGAGCTTATTACCTTTCGTGACATATAGCACATGCCGGTGGCCAACAACATGAGGCCCAAATGAAGCGCGGCAATAATTCCCGCAAACACCATCCAATGATCCGAGTGACAGTATCCTTCACTGGAGAGTGGGTCCCCGAACTTGTCCATGGAGGTGATGCGGCGTTTCCACTGCAAAGGATCGACGACCGTCCATGTTGTCAGGATGACGACGTCAATGAGTAGAATGCCATTGACAATGGACAGTGTTTCCGTTGTGGTAATGGCTGTGGCTTCAATATGCTCGGCGGCTCTGAAGAGTGTGTAGACGCGTCGAATTTTGGCAAAAAGGGAACCGAACGTAATGGAGACTGTGTGTGAAGAAGAGAAGGGCAGATAGAATGCGTGTGAGTGAATACACGCCCATCCAAGACAATATCTTCAATTCGCAGTACAGTACATGTACTACTTACAACCGACACTATACAACCACGGAATCGCCATGCACCCCGGCACGTCTTGTTCTCCTTCATCTTCGGCCGCCAATGCAAAGATTGTGCTGGAGGAGATCAAGCATCCAATGAGAATGAGCGACAGAAAGATGGGCTGACAGACCCTGACTTGAGTGGTATTGCGATTGATCCACAACCAAAATGCACAAATGGCAACGACTGTGAAATTGATTCCGACCATAATGTAGGACACAATTTTGAGACTGGTGGATATCAAATTGGTATTTTCTTCCATCATGACCGTGCAGTCGCTGCCCGTCCATTTGGTGGATTCACAGACGCAATTGCCATAGCGATCCGCCAGTCCATGGGCCGTGCTACAGGGCAAATGGCAATTAACGCCACTACTCCCGAGAGGACAAAAGGCAATGGAGAAGAATTCGTCATAGAGTTCATCGAGAATGCCCGTGACTTTGGCTTGGTAGATCCATCGAATGATCAATTGTTGAATTTGCGGATCCAGACGCGCATTCAAGGGCCAGACAATGTACTGTTCGTCAAAAGTTTGTCGTGTCACATGTAGATCGGGATCCTTGACGGCGAGGTAATTGAGTTGAAGCTTGTCTTCGACAAACAAGGCACATCGATCTTCCTTGAGCCATAAGAGACATTCGTCATGCGTATAACAGCGTTCCACGAGCAATCCGAGAAAGCGCTCCGTGGCTTGATCGTCAAAATGCGATTCGTCCAACAAACAGACGGGTTCTTGCAATGCGACGGCTTCTCGCAAAGTCGTGATTTGTCGTTTGTTGGCGGCGCGATGGACGTACTGCACCGTCGCCGCGGCCGTTGTCAGCAAGGGAGGCGTCAGTAGAGTCTTGATGCTGCGGCTGGGATATCCGTAGTAGTCCCCGACAATGAGATCCAAACGATTGCAGTCTTCCAACGGAAATCCTCCCTTACGATTGGACGTGGAGTTGCAGTCGACGCTCATGTACTCGAATTGCTTGGCGTACGAAAAGGGCGGCGCTTGTTCCAATTCCCAGTGGAGCGTGATATTGTCAAAGTCTGCAGCAATGGTGATCAAGTGTCTCATGAGCGCGGGTTGAAAGCCGCGGTAGGAAGGAAACGGTTCAATGCTGTTGCGACTGGTAATGTTCTCGTCGTAGAATGCCAGGGGTACCGTGTTGGTCAAGACGGCGGCGCGCAGCGTCACGGTAGCAGGTTTGGCAGCCTCTCGGTCATGGACGTAGTCAAAGGGAATGCAAGTGTTGTCACGTCGTGCAGCAGCAGACGTGTTGTTGCTGGCAGTCATCAGAGGTGCCACCAGCAGACATACGAGGAGCAAGAGACGGTTCATGGCTCTTGGATAATGGACAATCAATCGGCTTCAGAATCTGATGGTCTTCAGGAGATAATGGCTTCCTTTTGCGTCGTCGGATAATGGGCTTCAAGCGGCGGATTTGGAACTAAAGATGGTCTAAGGATAGCTACTAGCCAGAGAAATGATAGAGTGATGAAAAGGTGCAGTACTACCCTGAGGGAATGTACAGTATGGTTTGACAACGAAGCAGTGAAATGGTTTCCTTCCTCCTGTGCTGATCGTGTATTATGAGCGCGAGAGGGAGGCGGCCAGAAAACACAAAGCTCCATCCATCGTTGTGGGGCAATGCCTCATTGTGATCAAGCCGAGTTCAGGTCATTCTTCGATGTTGAGTTTGAGATTTAAAAGGCAAAGACCCCAGTTCTGCTTTCAGCGAGTAACGATCAGAACTGTGACCCTGTGACCCCTGCTTCCGCATAAGACCACCGGCCACTCTCGGGAGGGGTCACCAAATTCACCCGACTCAGTGGAGTTGCGGGGAATCCGCTCTTGGAGCAGTTCCTTTTTGAGGGTCACCAGCAACTTGTGTTAATCTTCCACTTTGAGTCATGCTTCTATATTGTGTCATTCTTCCATATTGTGTCATTCTTCCATATTACGTTTCTTGGTACTAATTGCTACGTGATATTACGTAGAGCCTTCCAGATTGTGATTCTTCTCTTTTCAGTCATTCTTCCAAAAGAAAACAGTTGGAACTGCCAGACGAACACTTAAAACAGGTATTCCCGCAACTCCACTCCTCGAGAGATGGAAAAAAGAAAAAAGATGCAATTTTTAGCAGCATTTTGGGGCAACGCAAGTGCATTGCTCTTTAGCTACTCTAGCTAGCCAGTACGACTGTAGCTGGCACTTTTCACTGGTGGGAACTCACCTTCAACAGCTCCTTCAACTCACGAGCATCGGCAGCACACTGCACCCCTTGACCCCTTCCCACACTACCATACCTTCAAACCGGTGTGACTTATAGTCCCCGCCAACCCAACATCAAGATGGCAACATTGGGCGGTAGATGAATGAATGCATAGATAGATGGTGACTCGGATCTGTTCGTAAATGTCTCTGGTGGAGATTGACTGTGTGGTCAATCCAATCCAATCCAATGCAAGGAGAGAATCAGGGTTCGTGGAACCAACATCCCTTCTTTTCCGCTCTGTTTCGGCGCCACAGATATGTGGTGGGCATCCTCCTGCTTGTGGGAACATTTGTCTTCTATTGGACTGGCAGATCCATTTCCACACGAGGCACAGATGCAAGTTGGAACCCTCAAGTGGATACAGTCAAGTCCATTTCCAACTTCAACAAGGCCGACAACCATACCACTACTACCACCAACTATGTGGACACCACAACTACTATAACCAAATCCACAACGGCTGTTGCAAGCACGAAAGAGGACTATTGCATTTGGTCGCCATCGAGTCCACGAAATTGTCAAAAAGTACTGCACGATCGCATTGCCCAACAAACTGTGTCGTCATCCGCTCGCTACAGTTGGCTCTTTTTTGGAGATTCCACTGTCGCACAGTTATGGTACACATCCTCTCTGCAAAACCTGCTGGTGGATCTGGCCGTGACGCAACTTCAAGAACAAGAAGGCGCACAGTGTGTTTCTTTGTCTCATACAAATTGTCACTCTGTACGAATTTCACAACAATGCCATTTGAATCAAGCCTACAATCTTTCCTTGCCCCGTCACTGGGAATCACCCAGGCTGGGAGAAGGACCCGCCAAGAATGCCACAGATCCAACCGAATTGTGTCTGGGATGTCATAGTTGTCACTCCAGTTTTATACAATGCAGCCCCAATCGCAATTCATACAACAACACTCCAGCCTCCAATAGAAATATTTGTCGACCCATTCTGTATGGTGGCTACATTGCCATGCCCTTTGCGCGCGATGTCATTCTCCAAACGCCACACTATCGGACCAGTCAAGAAAATTTACTGTTGGAATACCTTACTACTAATAATCAACAACAATCCATTTGTGTGGTTCGCACGGGATTGCACGACATGGCATTGCCCGACATGACACAATCCCTCTTTGTGTCCAATGTCCAGTGGTATCTCCGACTGCTACTGCGACGCGTGTGCGCCCATGTGATTTGGTTGCAAAATACGGCACCCTCCGCCAACGCAACCAAATATCCACAGACAATGGAACGGGTACGAGCGTACGACGAGGGAGTCTACGACGCGCTACAACAACCACTGAGCGACCAAGTGACCACTGTGGATGTCTGGGAGGCATCCTTGCAGGCACAACATGCCGACCATATTCATTTGACCAGTGATTGGAATCGAGCGCTTGGCATGTTCTTTGTCAAGTTGGCCACCAAATTGACGGTACCGTGACATGTCATGATAGCTGGATTGGAGTGCAATATATGGTTCTGAGCCGTGATTGGGGAGATTGAAAGATAGAAACGAGACGTATTTTTCGACGTTGGTGGCCTACCGCGAATACATCATGTTGGATGGTGTCTCCAATGCTGGTCTAGACTACGGTAGCTTGGCAAGTACCGTAGTTTGCCAGCCATGAGAAGATAGATTCCAAGAAGGCTGCGTCTTGGAGAGGATGTAAATTGTTATCGCAACCATCAAAGATCTTGTGAGTGTAAGCAAACTTGCTGCCGGCTGCGCAAAAAGGAATCTTTTGATACAGTTTGGTACTGGGAGGTGATTTCTGCATTGGAAATGTCGTGTTCGGTGCAAATAAATGCCTTGGAACTGAATGACAGGTTCCCGATCTTAGCCATATGCATAGTAACGTTGGCTCGTGCAGACCAACTGTTGACTCAGCTCAATCTTTATTACGCAGCTTGTTCTTGTCTGAAGAAGCCTACCGGTAGTAGCCTCTCTAACTAACAACCTGCTATCATCATAGCACTCAGCTAGCTAGCTCTTCTGGGCCCACAAAAACTCTCAGCGCCACTCGCTAGCTACACACTACGATCACCGGTGACATCGTGGTGGCGTAGCGTGGAAGTATTGTGCTGCTTTTTGGAGGGAGAGCCGACGAAAACACTTTTGAAGCCAGCGAAATCCGAGCCTGTCAGCCTCACACATGGCAAAGATCCCTCGCTGGCGGTCGAGCGCAAAGAGCACAAAGCATTGTCATTGGAGGCTTCATTTAGTTATCATAGTTGTTGTCGCTGTTGTGGACCATTACAGGTTTTGTTGTGTTTGCTAGCTTGATCCAGTTATAGTACCGGCTAGTAGAGTTGAACAATGCCGTCCAACAACAAGAGACGGTCGAGCACTACTGCCAAAGGCAAGAGCAAGGGAAAAGGCAAAGCGCCTCCAAGCAGGGAACCCCTTCCTCTCGGTACACTCGTAGCGCGACGCTACATTAATCAGAGCAAGAATCAGAAATGGGATGATTCAGGTCAGATTGTGGAGGTAGTCGCGATCGCCAATGGTCCTCGCAGCTACAAGGCGAAATTTGCGGATGGCGTCGAACCGCTGTCGGACAATGAAGCGCAAGTCGCCAGTGAAGCCTACCGAATTCGAACCCAAACTAACAAGCTGGATATTACGAGACATCCAAGGCCGGCGCCGGGAACAAAGATTTCCAAGCGATACGCGATAGATGAGGACGGCAGTTCCGAGTGGTATGAGGGCAAAGTCATTGCGCAGACGAGGAGATCGACTAAAGTCCGATTTGATGACGATGGTGTCGAAGAGGACCTGACTGATGATGAGCTGAGAGTCTGTGCCTTTGCCTATAAATATTTTCATCCAGAACCAGGCGTAGCGGAAACAAAGGTGGAAGCGAAGAAAACCGCAAAACAAGGTGGTAAAAAAGTCAAGAAGGAAGAGGACGAAGAAGAAATTCCTCCCAAGCGAGCCAAGAAGGCCAAAATGGAAGACGATGATCCAAAACCAGCGGCTGGAAAGAAAAAACGTTTGTCAGCCAAACAGAAGCTCCAACAATCAGCAGAAGACGAAGACTCTGGTACAGAAGCGGATGTAGAAGAGGATAAAAAGCCAGCTGCGCGCACCAAACGAACCGGAAGGAAATCAGCTACACAAAAGTCTGAGCCAGAGGAACCGGCTGGCAGCGAGAAGAATGAGGACGAGAAGACTGCGGCCAGCTCTAGGCAAAACAGACGGAAATCAGCTCCTAAGAAGTCTGAGCAACCGGCTGATAGCGAGCAGAATGAAGAGAAGAAGACTGCAGCCAAGCCAAACAGACGCAAGGCATCCAAGAAACCCGCTGCTGACGAAGAACCAATGGTCGGAATCAAAGACGCGGATCAAATAATCAACAATAGTCGCAAAACAAGGGGAGCTGCTGCAAAGACTGAGGAGGAAGAGCAACCAGATAGCCGAGGGATCAAGCGAAAGCACGAATCCAGGCTGGTGGCCCCTGCAAAAAAGAAGCAACCCCCCAAGCCACAGGAAAATGTCGCGGTGTCGAAGCGTCGTCAGACTAGGACCAGTCTGCAGAATGAGCTCGACAAGGAAGGCATAAGTCCAGCTACCGCCAAAACTGCCAAGGCTTCGAACAAGAAGGGGGACAAAGAAAAGGACGAGGCTCCAAAGCCACAGGAAGATCTTACGGCTGTGGCGCCAAAGCGTCGTCAAACCAGGACCAGTCTTCAGTCCGAACCCAACAAGAGTCCAGCTACCGCGAAAACCGCCAAGGCTGCAAACAAAAAGGGAGGCAAAGAAAAGGAAGAGCCAGCTACCGCAAAAGCTTCCGAAGAACCTGCTGCAAGTCCAGACAAGAAACCACTGGCCCGAGGTTCGAGATTGAGGAGCAGCAGTCCGGTACCAAAGAAGAATCAGGTGGATGCCGAAAAGTCAAACGGCAAAGCCAGGACAACTAGGTCTGGAGGTGAAAGTGCATCCAAGCGTGCGTCCACTGGCACGCCCGATGCCAACAGCAAAAGCCGCAGTTCGTCGAGGACCAAGGCTGTGGCTAGCAAAGATGAGAAAGAGAGTCACGACTCGAATACTGCCGAGTGTCCTGAATCTCCAACCGTCGTTGAGCTCCGAGAGGCAGAGCAAGAGCACGGGAATGCCAATCAGGCCGAGCAGGAAGCCAAGGCCGCATACGAGCAAGCCGAGAAAGCCCTGAAGGAGGCACAGGAACGACTCCGAGCTGCTGCCAAGCTTCATGCTGATTCCAAAAAGAGGGTGCAACGAACCAAGAGAAAACTGGAGGAAGCGGTAAGTGGATAGTAGAGAACACCTGATCATCTTGTTTGAAAGAATGGCTGACCCAATCTCATCAGGATGATGCCTAGTCGAGATCTTATCAGCGACGAAAGCGGGCGAGGTTAATGGAAAACAGGAGTGTTGCCTTGACGGAAACAGAGACGAAATCTACAAAGAAATGGGGGGATGACACGGCTTGTCAGGCGGAAACTGAAGTCTTGAAGGAATATGGCAACGAGGTTGAATTCGATCACACAGCACGTACATCTACTGCCAAAGTCACCGAGGGGGATAATGCCTGTGAATCAGGCCCTTTGGGAGCGAAAGAAAATAATGGCTCTGAGACTGACGCAACCGGTGCACTGAAAACCAAAGTACAGCGGGAAGCAGTTAAATCGGCAACTCCAACGGAAGTTGATGCTGCTAAGACGGATTCTCAGGTTGAAGCAGCCGGTCTGTTGGACAGCAAAGACGCGGAGACCAAGGAGACAACATGCCCCCCATCGGAGATTGATGCCAGGTCTGAATCTCAGGTTGAATCGACGACTCCAGGCGATCCCAACGTTGTTGAACAGGGTAAGCCGTCCAGTCCATCCGAAACCAAACCAACGACTGGCTCCCAAGTGGAACCAGTTTGCCCATCGATACCGGCGCCCAAAGTCATCCAGGGTACGGACATTATTGACGGAGCAAGTCCATCTCAGCAAACCAATACTACTACCGCTGAAATGGATGTGGCCAGCCGATCCGAGAACAGAGCAAAAGAAGGACTTGAAGTTGAAGGATCAAAGGGCAGTCAGGACGAAAAGAACAACACTCCACAACCACAACCACAGCCCCGAGTTGAAAACGGGAACCAAAACGACGAAATATCGCATGCCATGGTTCCGTCCCAATCTTCTAATAATTCGAGCGAAGATTCCCCAAAGGAACACATTATGTGGATAGCAGCAGGCAAAGCAGGCGTCGACCCATCGGACACCCAACAAAAGGAAGATGTCGAATCGGAAAGGCCGCAAGTGACGCGTACCTCCGAGAAAGAGCGTGAGACTGAAGTTGGAAAACAGATGGCTGGTCTGACGAGTCCATCGCAGTCTCGTGCACACGAAGCAAGCTTAATCCTCTCGAAAGATACGGACGAAACTGGATCTGAAGCTGTCCCAAGCAAAGAAGCCAAGTCTCCAAGTCCGGGAAGCAGCAAAGCCGAAACCAACACTAATGAATGCAAGCCAAGCTGCACGCCGCCGGTGCCACCACCTGAAAAGACTGTGACTGGAGCTGCATCACCTTCTGTGGAGGCAGCCGACAGCGTCGAGGCTGCGCTAGGAACACCCGGCTCTGAATCCAAGGCACAAGCGAGTGTTGTCGAGCATGACAACAGTTTTGCATCTCCGACCAACGACCAAGCTTCTTCTTCGATTGTGTCCACTCTTCCTGCACTGGGCATGACGAGCCCTCCAGCTGCAGTTGTGCAGACGCCCGCACCTTCCACAGCTCCTAAAGCAGAAAAAATTACTGATGCTGCTGCTAGCTCCAAAGAAATAGGGATGGACCCCTTGAAGACTGTCACGACCCAGGCCTCTCCCGAAACAGCCGGCAGTCCTCCAGTTGCAGGGATGGACTCCCTTACAGCAGAAGGTGCCAGGGCTCCAGCGGCTGGGATGGAAGCCATAACCGCTGCCGGCATCTATAATGAAGGAGCAACTCCTCCAGTTGCTGACATGGAAACCACGAGCCCCGTCACCGGTGTTGATGAGAAAGCCACGACCGCTGTCCCGGCATCCACTAGGAAGGAAAACTCAACAACTACTGAGCACACTCCTGAAGGAGCAGAAGGTGAAACTGTGATTAAAACCTCACATGTTGATGCGATTGATGCTGCACCTAGGCCTCAGGACAAATCCTCGGGACCACTCCCCACTCCTAAAGGAACGCAAGGTGAAACTGCGACTGAAACCCCATATGTTGATGCAATTGATTCTGAGCCTGGACCTGAAGACAAAACCTCAGCAGCTCTTCCGACTCTTGAAGGAACGGAGGGCGAAACTATGTCTGAAATCCCTCCTGTTGATGCGGTTGATTCTGCACCTATACCTCAAGACAAAACCTCAACAGCTCTTCCGACTTTTGAAGGAACGGAGGGCGAAGCTATGTCTGATATCCCTCCTGCAGGAACGGAGGGCGAAACTACGACTGATTCCCCTCTTGTTTATGGGAATGATGCTCCGTCTGGACCTGAAGGCAAGGCAGAAGGTTGCGTTGAGAGTGAAGCGGATGCTGTTCCAATCACGAATCTTGCTGCAGAAAGCAGCATGTCAATGGCCCGAAATGCTTCACAGAGCAGCCAGCCCCACACCAGTCCCAATACCTCTTTAGGTGGATTCAAGGAAGGAGAAAGAAGCGAAATTGTTGCCGCAGGGGAAGCAGCCATTCATACCGGTGGGCAGTGGGGGGCCAACGAATCGGCAGCATCTGAACGAACCACAGGCCTCAGTTCCATCCGAGCGCAACTCCCAGAGGACGCAGACGCCCAGTGGTGTCAGAGATATGAAGCAGTTGCGGCGCATTACGAGAAGACTGGCCATTGCCGCAGTAGCACTTTGGACTGGTGGCTCTCGGACCAGAGAATTAGTTTCCACAACGACGATTTGGACCCATGGAAAGTTGAAGCTTTGGATCGAGTGGAGATCAATTGGGTACCAATTGCAACTGCCGATAAATTCGAAAAGGGGTTCACAAAACTCCTGTCCTTTCATGAAGAACATGGTCATATCAAGGTCTCTGCGACTGCATACAAGGGACTGTTCACCTGGCTGACGGCCCAATTGGAACATTACAAGAAGGCAAGAATTACGGGCAAGTTTTCGACCCGAATGACTCAGACAATGGTCGAAGAGCTTGAGATGCTGGGTATCGTTGATCTTCTTGGGACGGAGTTCGACAAAAAGCCATATGATAAGGTTCCTGAAGCCGGCCTCCAAGTGGCGAATGCACCACTGGAAGCAGAATTCAAGCGGCTCTTTCCGCAGTTGCAGGCACACTATAGGGACTTTGGGCATCTCGATTACTTGCTGAACGATTCAAAAAGCCCCCTTGGGCGCTTTGTGAAGAAACAGCAGTCCTATTTCCAGAAATTCAAGGAACAGGGAAGGTTTGGTGCCTACTTGACTACCGGGAGAATCGATTTGTTGGAGAGTGCGGGAGTTCCGTTGGACCCTGCGAAAGAAGGCACAAAGGCAGAACAATGGATGGCTACGTTCCGCCAGGTCGAAGCTTTCCATCACAAGTATGGTCATCTTTGCTTCTCTCAAGAAACCGAGCGCTGGGAGTCTGTTGTCCGCTGGACAACATGGGAGAAGCATGTGTGGGCGGAATTCAGCAAACACCAGTTGGGGCTTCCGAATGACTTGTCGCAGGAAAGAATCGACCTGCTGGATGGCATCAAGTTTTTTGTGTCAACCAGCGAGTCTCATCAGTGGAAGCGACAGTTCGACGAAATCAGATCTTTTTATGATGAGTACGGCCATCTACACTACGTTGATTCTCTTGGGGAGAAGTCTACGAAAGACATTGATCGTTGGCAAGAATGGGACCAGGAGCAGCGGATGGAGTATTCGAAATTCAAACGACGAGAGCCATCAAGCTTGACAGTCGGTAGGGTTGTCCTGCTGTCTCACATCAACTTTTTGGACTGGAGAAAGGACTGCGAGTGGAACAAGAGCCGGCACAAGTGGAACCAATCGTGTGACGAAATCAAGGCATTCTTTGAGAAACATGGCCATCTCATCTTTGGTGAAGAGGAAGGACACACCGAACAGGACATCAAGCGTTGGAAGGTTTGGACAGCAAAACTACGAGATGACTTTGCGAATCTGAAGGGTGGACGGAAAAGCGAGTACTTGACTCATGAGCTTGCGGGCTCCTTGGAGAAGATAGGCTTGTTTCTTCCCGAGGAGGAACAGGAAACGAATCTCTACATGGCTTGGTTGAAACGTTTTCGTGAGACAAGACCAATCGATGGAATAATGACACCAGAAGAATTTGAGGAAGCCAGCGGAGATCGCAGAACAGCTCTGTGGTTGCAAGAACAGAGGGAGAAGTGTCGCAGGTTCCTGCTACAAAACCCCAAAGCTCCGACTCTGAACGACAGACTACAACGAATTGTTGCGTTGGGTTTCGACTTGGGACAAGAGCAGCGCACTCACGGGGAAACCTCCGTTCCCGCATCACTAATCCAAGATTCTGCACGAGCGACTTCTCCAATGCCAGAAAAGGAAGTGGGCGATGCCACCGCTGGCGACGGTGGGTCAACTCCAAAGAAGAAACCCGCTTCGAAGGACGGGCACCAGCAGGATCCATTCACCGAAGCTTTCACCGAAGCTCTTGCAAATCCGCCGGTCAACGGTACACCAGGACGTCCGAGGGTCAAGGGGCCGTGTTCAGGTCTCACGCCAAGGAAGTGGTGTCCCACACCGCCAATAGGTGCGACCGTGGAAGAGAACGGCAACGCCGCTTCAAACACAGAACCAGCTATTGCTGCGAGCCGTCGCTCACTTGGTACGCTATCGGAAGAAAGTACCCAGACTGGTGAAAGCAACTCGATGGCAACGTCTGCCCAATCCAGCTTGCCAACACCACCAAAAAAGGCTCGCGCAGCAAACAAGACAAGGCAATCCCCAGCGGGCGCACAGAAATGGTCTTTGATAGAGAAAGAGGGAGATGCGTCGCAGTCCGAGAGCTACTGCGCTGGTTGTTTTTGTCCATTTCTGCACCCAGAGGTTGCTAGGCTCAAGCACACGTACACCAAGCAAGGAAAAGACGTTATCAATAGGTACTGCTGCAAGGCATCTTGCATTTCTCTTGGCAAAGTTCGTGACAACGTTAACCAGGATCACATTGACGAGCTGTGTCAAATGACATGGCCCCAGCAAACCGAGCAAATGCAAGAGAGACTGAGAAAGCTTGTCCAACAACTGGAGTCTGATCGCACGGAGTTAGTTACGGAGCTTTCGAAGGTACATTTAATGAATGGCAAAGCAAAGTCATACACAGGAACGACGGCAACGGTCATTCCGAGAAGCCCGAAGCAACCACAACCGGCGAGCCATGCAAAGAGCCCCCCGAAGCCACAACCCAAAAGTAAGGTTACCACGACGCCGCCCACGACGCCGCCCGCAAGAGATGACGGGCCGACTTTCAGAGAATCGATACCTCACGCTGCGAAACCAAATCCCCAAGGTTTTTCGCTATACGTCAAGAGTATGGGGGCGGAAGTCAAGTATTACTACAAAACAGTTCCTAATATCACTGCTCGCGAAGTGGCCAGAATGATGCGCGAGAAATACGACAAGCTACCCCCCGACGAAAGGCAGCAATGGGAGTCTCGTGGTGCGGAAGAAGCAGATGAAACACAAACCGCCGCCGCTGTAACAGCCATGTTTGGTGAATCGTCGTCTCCCTCCACGGGAGGAATACGACCCTACCAAAGAGAGACAACGCCAGAAAAAACACCAGCAACAAGCAGCGAATCACCACAACACGACTTTCCCCCTTCCGACGAAGAGGAGGAGGAGGAGAGCGAATGCAACGATAACGATGACGTTTACAGTTTTGGCGACACGGACAACGAAGAAGACTCGTCTGTCACAAGTTCTTTCTTTGATCCAAACGTCGAACGAATTGATCCTGAGAACAGCAACTGCATTATCATGTAACAGACGTTAAACAGAGTACATGATGTCATTGCGCAGTGCTTTGAGTATCTCGGCTGTTTGCAGTAATAGTCACTATTTTAAATGTATCTTGTGCATTCTCGAGTAGCTTATTACAGTCGGATTGGTCTCCCGTGACGAGGAAAACCTCTGGCGCTTTCCTTTGATCCAAAAACCTAGCTACCGGTAGCTAGAGTTTGGACGTGGCGAAGCCTGGGGCTCATCACTTGTTGCGTCGCTATCTGCGGTACCGGTACATGCACAGTAGTTGGCCAGGCACGCTTTACAGCCTGCCGCAGTTGGCCAGGAGGTAGGTATACTCTTTCAAAGCTAGTCCCTGCTGGAAAAAGCCATACCAAATGAACTCAGCTATTGCCGACATTGCTTCCCGCCTTGTTTGGCTTGTGGCTGCCCATCAGTTCATGTACTGGCTGGTACCAGGTACTACCTTTAGAAGACTTGTCAACCTATTGTATATGGCTGGCTTGGCGCTTGCTCCTTGGAACAAGAAGAGAAAGACAGAGCGCGCAACAGCGCACAGGAGACAGCATCACGGATTACTTTTTAGTAATGCAGCTACAGTACTAAACTAGCTCATACCAGAGTTTTTGATTTGTGGATTGAATTGATGGATTGCTGCTGTTGGAACAGTGCAAATTGACTTGAATAATTTTCTGTTTGTGAATCGTTGCTGTGTGATGCCACGGCAACGTCATGCTCTTCTAAAATATGTCTTTTTCATTTCTTCATCAGTGGCCTTGATTGTTTCTCCTCTCTACTTTCTCCTCTCTTTCTTGTGCTTGTTCGTGCTTACTCTTTTCGAAATTGCGTGGTACTATCCTGTACCCAATGTCCTCCATGCGAATCATTGAGTCCATGGCCCGGTGCTCGAATGGCTTGATTCAGCGACGCTCGTCGCATGATGCGATTTCGTTCTCGTTCCAATCGTTCCGCATCTTCCGGGGAAATATCGACGGCATTTACTAGCGGCACAGTGTTGGCGTTTGTGTTGCCCCGTTGAAAAATGGGATGCAAATGATGGACTTGATTCTTGCCCGTTGTCGTGGCCGCGAGAAAGGATCCCAACGAGGCACCCATCATGACGGTCGCAAATGCCGTATTGCGCGTCAATGTCAGAGGCAGCACTTTGCTGCGATGTTTCGACAAGTACTCGGCCGTCTTGTGCAAGAGAAAACTCCCCGTTCCACCCACCACAAAACCCGTCATGGCACTCTTCCAAATGTCGCGCCGGACCATGGCCAACGATACAATGTCTTCGCTCGTCAAACTGGATGGGGGACTGTGGCCTCGTGTCATGGTTGCTATTAGTAGTGTTTATTAGTTAGGACAAAAAGGTAGTTGAGAGTGGAGAGATGGGTTGTGTGATTTGGATTGTGGCAACGTCCCTTCTCTTTCGATTGCTTCCTTGCTTCCACGAAGAATGGTGCTTGGACAGTCAGTCGCCTTTGATCGTTTCTGTGGGACAAGCTGGTGTCACTCAACTCAGCTGTTGCTTCTTCTTTCGGTCAAAAGGGTTCTGAAAAAAGATACGCAGAGCCCGTGTGCGTCTTTCAACAAGACATGCTCGGTAGCCTGCGAGCAAAGCATTGCAGCAACAGCAAAAGAAGTCTTCAAATCTCTGTGGCATACCGGTGCAGATACCATTCCTAGCTAGCTAGTACCAGCTAATAAGAGCCTGAAGTTGATCACTAACCACACAAACTGCACTATGAATACTAACACGAAGACTAACGATAATAAAGGTACTACAGAGTCTCCTCTTCTGTTGTTGGTTAACGATGAACTTTTGGTGGGCCAGATGCTAGCATTTGTTGGTATTGGACACTACGCGTTTGTAGGAGCCGTCAACAAGAAGATGAATCAACTGTACAAAGACTACTGTGAAACGGAACTGAAGAAACATCCAAGAACCGTAAAGAGTAACCCTGGAAAGTACTGTTTTGCCCGTCGATCTGCAAAAAGCACGGATACTCTTTGCAGTGAAACATTCTGTAACCTGCCACGTGCCGAATACTGGCTCAAGCAGGAGGACAATTCTAAAAGACCGGAGCGTATTTATGTTTGCAATGTCATTGCCAAAATTGGAAACATTACTGTCATGCAGTGGGCACAACAACAGCAACAGTTCCCTTGGAATAAGTGGGCATGCTATCATGCTGCTAAAAATGGACATTTGGGAATGCTCCAATGGTTAAGAAAGAATGGTTGTCCATGGAATGCAGATACATGTTCCGGTGCTGCGGAAGGTGGACATTTGGAAGTTTTAAAGTGGGCTCGTGAAAATGGTTGTCCATGGAATCATTGGACATGCACAGATGCTGCTCGAAGAGGTCACCTTGATGTGCTAAAGTGGGCACGTGAAAATGGTTGTCCATGGATCGAGTGTACATGTGCTGAGGCTGCTCAAAATGGACAGTTGGAAATTCTAAAGTGGGCTCATGAAAATGGCTGTCCATGGAATGCCGATACATGCAATAAGGCTGCTGCATATGGCCATTTTGAAATTTTGAAGTGGGCTCGTGAAAATGGTTGTCCATGGGCGGAATGGACATGTGTCTGTGCTGCGGAAGGTGGACATTTGGAAATTCTGATTTGGTTAAGAGAGAATGGTTGTCCATGGGATGCAGATACATGTGCTAGAGCTGCTGCAGGTGGTCATTTTGAAATTTTGAAGTGGGCTCGCGAAAATGGGTGTCCATGGGATGCATGGACATGTGCTCGTGCTGCTGAAAAGGGACATTTGGAAGTTTTAAAGTGGGCTCATGAGAATGGTTGTCCATGGAATGTATGGACATGCGAGGCTGCTGCGGAAGGTGGACATTTGGAGATTTTGAAGTGGGCGCATACAAACGGGTGTCCGTGGAACGCACATACATTCAGAGCTGCCAGAAGAGGCTTTGGAAGCGAAAAAATCGAAATGATCCAGTGGCTACAGGACAATCACTGCCCTACTAGCTAGCTAGGTCTCACAATGAAGGACACTAACATCATGTATGGTAAGGTTAGTAATTGAATCTAAAGTAGACAATGCTCACGTTTCCCCGTTCCTTAGCTTACTATAGGTTTTAGTGCGATCTGGTTGCATGAACCACTCAGAACAGTAGACATACCACTCAGAACAGTAGACATACTACTGCTATTATTGATGTACCGTACATGTCACCGATGTCAAGCCGGAACAAACCATCATCTTTCAGTCAAAAGGGTTCTGAAAAAGGATAGGGAGAGACCGTGCGAGTCGAGTCTGTCAAAATCGAAGAGGCAACTCTAATGCTAATGTTTGTAACTCTAGTGCTAATGTTGAAATCAACGTCGCAAGATCCAAAGATCGAAAGGGATCCAACCTCCGATCTCAATGTTCCATGGTGTTCCGCGCATGACTGACTCTGGAGGCGCTTGATTTTGGATTTGTGGCTGGCACGAAGATCATTTATTTGGTATCTTCTCTGGTATTCTTCTATTGCCAACCATGACGGATACTGCTACAAAAGACAACGATGACAAGATGATGCCGGTGTGGTTGGATGACAGTCACATTGACCCGGCTTGGATTCGAGAAAAGACTCAACTGCCGTGTCAACAGTGTACCGTCCAAGACATTAGCAACGATACCCGCAAGGGCGAGCGCGTTCGAGATGGTGCCACGTTGAAACTTACTGTCGAGTTAGAGTCGCAGACTGAGCCAATGACATTGATTATCAAACAAGTGCCCGCTAAAGGACGTCCTCTGAGTCAACAATTGGGATTGGCCCGGGAAGCTTTCTTTTACAATCAATTGGCACCCGAAATTAGTGCTCAGCATGGCGACACTATCATTCCCAAAATTTGGTATGCCCACGGCGACATGGCCACGGGCGCCAAGGTGGTGATCATGGAGGATTTGTCAAACACAGCCGTCGATTCCGGTATCTTATTTGGACCCGGCAATCCCAACAATTGGAAGCGCGATTTGCCCACGCTCACAAGCAAGGCGTTTGGCCCCCACCAAAAAGTTCCTTCGGCCGCCCGTGTCGCCCACGTGACGTTTTGTGAATTGGCCCAAGTCCATGCCACATTTTGGTGTCGTCAAGACTTGCTGACTTCTGGCGATACCAATCATCAGCAGTGGATGCGAGGTCACGCCTGGTTGCAAGGACAAGGCAAGGACAGTTGGCAAGCCTCGCAGGGATTGTTGACCACTTTTTGGAATAACTATCTCGAACGCGAACAAAAAGCTACCAACAGCGAAAACAATCCACTCTTGTTACAATGGGATCCCACCGTTCGCGCCGCCGTCGAAAAGGCACTCCACGGCATTTCGTGGGAGGCACAATTGCAACGATTGCACGTCGATGGACGATGGTGTGTCGTCCATGGCGATTGTTGGCCCGGAAATTTCATGTGGATGCTTCCCAACAACGACAACAACCAGCAGGACAAGCTCCAACTCTTGGATTGGGAAATGGTCGGTGTCGGATCGGGTCCCCAAGATTTGGGGCAATACGTGTTATCGAATATGGATCCCGCCGAACGACGCGCTTGCGAAAAAGACTTGATTCAAGCCTATTACCAAGAGTTGTTGCGGTGCGGTGTCACCAATGTCGATTGGGACTATTGTTGGAGTGAGTACAAACTAGGGGGAATCGAGCGATGGTTGTGGTTCCTCATTTACTTTTGTGGACAAGACAGTCCCATGCTCATTCAGTGGGCACAATTCTTTCACAATCAAATGGCCGAGTTCATGAAGGATCACAACATTACAGCCGACGACATTGTGCAGCCGAGACCGTAGTAGCTACTACTGCATGTACAGTATCGGTGGTTGCTACTAGTAATTGCCGTACTTTATTAAAGAAAGTAGCAGGTACACACAAAGATCAAATACCAAATGTACACATAGCTAGCTAGAGAAGCCTCGTGGATTAGCAGTACCCGGCACCGTGATAGAGGATGACGATTTGGAGGGTTGTAGTTCCAAGGACGCCGATTCCCAACATAGTCTCCAAGATAACTGTTACCTGGTATCGGGAAGTGGAACCGTAAAAGTATAGAAAGGCGACAAGTGCTCACTCGGACTCAGTCAAGTGACAGTAGCTGTGAGAGTCGAGTCGAGTCAAGTCAGTCAAGTCCCTAGAAGTTGACACACTGACGTCAGTCTTGGACAACCCAACCAACCAATCCTCCAACCTCGACTTTTACAGTACACGGTACAGCGAAGGGTCGAACCCCATCAACCCTGTGGAATCAATCCATCCATCGAACGACATACAAGGAACATGAGGGTTGACAAACGCTTTAGTAGTGCCAGGATACACAGTCTGTTGTTGTTGCTAGGCTTCTTTCTACCGCGATGGGGTTTGTCAGTGGACGCCTTTTTGATGATCAAGGCCCCTTATCCCTCCATCGCATCGTGTCTCTCTTTATCAAGTTCTTTGGAGGATAATGACGATTCGAGCAACAGTTTCTTTGAATCCCTGCTGTCCCGATTCCAAGGCGATTTTGACAACTACCATCAAGTCGTCCAAGACCGAAGCCAAGGTCTGCTACCGCGAGAAGGAGGCGGTCACGAACAAATTCATTGCCTCTTGGTACCCGTCCCACCCGTTGTTATCCCACAAACTGGTACTACTGTGGCAGGACGATTGGCCGCTTTTTATTTTGATGGGATTCCGCAACGCATCTTTCGATTTCGCTATTACGAATTAAAATGTGTGGATGATGAGAGCAGCAGCAGCATGGTGAACATGACTTTGTACTGTTTGCATCCCACTTTGGAAGGACAATTGCGAGGAATTTCCGATCCAATGGAGTGGCCCCAGGCCATGTCCGAGTTTGCATCCTCGCAACCAGACGAACCAGTAGTGACACTGCTTCCCAACTGTGACGTGCAGTGGTCTCGCGACTTGGATCCTGTGCAACACGACTATGCGCAGCGACGCAATGACGAATTGCAACAGCAATCTACAAGCGACACGGGCATTCATGCCGTCATGGTCCACGGACAAGCCATTGTCGATTCCACCATGATGCCCGGCACCAAAATCAAAGTACTGGATCAATTATCCTTGTGGGACGATCAGTTTTGGATTCACGATCGAGGATTGGATCCAGAGACGGGCGATTTCATCTACGGCAATCAACGGGGTGTCCCGTATCAATTGGAGCGTGTGACACAACTGAAACAAACGACAAGTGGGTGGCAACGGCACGTGACCAACCAGGAATTGCAGTGGACACTGGGACCCACGTGGAGGACGGCAGAGGAGTATCAAGCCAAACTGGATGCCGTCGGTGGTGGGGTGTCCAGTCAATTGAATCGTCGCAGCAAATGAATGAGCAACATGCAACATTCGTTGGTTGTTGGGAAAGGTACCGTAGTAGCTCACACACGGGTGCAGGACGACTAGGAAAGCGCGCTTGAAGTATCATGCAAAGGTCGAATGATTCAATCTCGACCTTGAAACAACAGCGCTCCCAACGGACCAATTCGTGCTCCCGTAAATAGATGCAGACCCTACTAACCGTGAAGCAACAATCAGCGGCTGCCTGACGAATCGAATCAGATCAGGTCAATCCGCGTTTCGGTGCAACAGAAGTATATTTTCAAACAGCTTCTTTACGTGCGGTAGATGCGTACCTAACCATCTATGATTGGCGCCTACTTAATGGTGCTGCATTGAAGCTACTTTGATTGATTGCATGCCTGTCTGTTTGTAGCCGCCTCTCAGGACCCCAAAACGACCCCTTCTATATTATTGTCTAGCTAGTGTGTAGCTAGTGTCCGTCGTGTATGTTTCCTCGTTCTTGTGCACCTCCTCCGTATTACTGTTTTCTTCTTCAAACAAGACGACCCCAGCTTTTGCCATGAGGATCTTGGTATCCCCATACACTACTTTCCACATGATGAGGGCCATGAGCGGGGCTCCCAGTCGCCGCCACAGTGTCGGTGGCAAGCGTGATACAATGACGAACACAATTTGGACGCCAAACGTATAGAGCGAAATGTGAAAGGATCGGAATCCTCGTGCCCGCACTTCTTGCGTGGCATCCAAAAAAGGTGTCACATCCCGTCCCATGCCCACCGCCGTACGACCATACACGGTCATTAAGGAAAAAATAAAGGTGGCATGCAATCCCGTCATCATGCCCATGGCAGATGCCGTAATGGAAATCAAATCCAACATCCACGAAGTGGAATCCCATGTCCATTGACGACTCAGCAAATCAAAGAATTGAATCGATGTGGCCAACGTCAAGGCACTGACGACGGCGTAGACTTCGAAACCGTCCAGACGAAAACCGGCTCGATCCAATGCGGTGGCTTGTGGTACAGGTGGTGGTGTGAGGATGACCGTGTTGGTGCATTCTTGTGATTGTTGTTGCGGAGAAACTGGATGGCAGCTGCTTGTGAACATTGGCGTGTTTGGCGCCTCCTCCTCAGCCGTCCCTTTGCTAGTGGCGGCGGCCGAAGGATTGGAGGCTGCGGCAGACGCCGTCAAAATAGTAGGGGGACTCTGGATCTCATTCCTAAAAAATTCCAACCGAGCGTTTGTCAATTCGCCACTGTCCTGATGATGCCAATTCATTGCTTCTGATAGAGAATGACCTGACCCATTCCGTATTGTTGGCGGCCCACCATTGTCATCATCATCATCCGTGGCCAGCAGTAGCACACCAATAGACGCAAAAGAAGATCGAGTGGGTATCAGGAATGGGTTGGACCGTTGAAAGGTAGCAACCGCATGACACCAAGGAATCTTCTTCGCAAGAAAGATGGAGAGCAGATCCAACGGCGAGCATCGGCCACAACATCGTCCCATGATGCCACCGTCGAGTCAAGTCTCTGCAATACTGGTATGTAGACTCTGTAGAGGACCCCTGTCTTGATTATGCGAGAATCAAGAAGCAAAGTGGCGCGGCTTGTTGATGGCGTTAAATTATTGGATCTTGGCTCCGTCTACATGTAATTAATTAACAGTCCCGCTAGCATTAGATTTTATATTGGAGTACAGGTGTGCTTTAATTCCTGTCACCGTCAACTTTGAAAACTTGTGCACTTACTAGTAGCTCTTAATTAACGATCCCCAGAAACAAGTGCAAACAGTCATTGTGGACTTCCCTGGAAACATCAATGCAACCCTTCCACGCGACCATGGTATCTACAGTACCGGAGCCAGCAATTCCTTCCGGTACACATGTACCAACGGTACACTTCCACTTTCCGCTCTTCGAATTCCGCTGTCAAAAGTCTCAACAACCCGCGGACCCATCTCCATCTCCCTCCGCCCTCGTTGTCCTAGAAAACGAACGAGTGGAGTAACTCCCAATAGATCTCTTCCCCTGCTATCTCACCCATCCATCCATCAAACCATGAATAACACGGATGATGCCGCAGACAGGAAAGCTGTGGTTGCTAGAATCTTGGAGTGCCCGGCCCGTGACGAAGGAAGCGGACAAAGACTAGTTTCGACGAGTCGAATGGCCAAGCGCTGCCCACCAGCAGAACAAGCTACCTCTCAAAGGCATGGTGGAGGCAGCAGCCGTAGTAGATTGTCGGAATCCACCGTCGCCCGCAAAGGCATGATTGACAACATCCTAACACATCCGGGAGTTTTCGACACTACCAGTAGTATCCATGGTTCCATCACAAGCCACACCAGCCACACAACCTTTACAACAGAGTCATCCGATGCACCATCCACCCCAGGGGCCTTTCGTCAGCGTGGAATTATTAATACTGCGACTTTCAACGAACCACAAATGGAGCTACCAGACCAACCAATCGAGCCAGAAGCCTCCAATAAAGGACACGACAACCACCACTTGCCCAACCTCGGTGACGTTGACACAATAGTCACAGCTGCCAAGGTCTACGATGATGAGGAGGAAAACCTAGAGGCCCGGTTACAAGAAGAAATCCCTCGAATGGAAGAAGAGATCCGGGCCAGAATCATTCATGAAGCTGTCGAGGCCAATGTCGTTCCAAATGATGGATTTCGGAGAACTATTCGGTGGGTCGCGCTCGTAGTGCTGGTGGGAATTGTTGCCAGTGCCAGCTTTTTACATGTCGGCATTCGGGCCGAACAGGACCGACAACACGACGAATTTCAGAAACATGCGGGTGAATTCGCAAGAAAAGTTGGCAAGGAATGGAGAGATTATGAAATGGGTGCCATGTGGGTGCATGATCGATGTCGGGATTGGAGAACCACCAACTTTACGGCAGGCGACTTTGAGATACTCTACAATTATCTGCTGGACACCGGACTCAAGTTTGCCTATGTGGAATGGGTCCCCAATGTCACCCATGAGGAACGACCAACTCTGGAAGCAGAAGCCTACGAGTACTACAAACATCATCATGACCCATTATTGGTGAACTACACCAGTTTCTATGGGCTGGAACCAGATCCTGACAATCCAGAGTCGCTCATTATAGCTCATCCACGATCGGAGAGGCCCTTCTACTTCCCCGTTGCCTTCAAGGAGCCAATGAGCTCTGGCATCAATCTCGACTTGTTCAGTATTCCAGATGAACGCAAAGTGATTTTACGAGCGCTGGAAACCATGGAAATGCAACTAACACCTCCGTTGTACCTGGTGGGGGATGGCCCCACAGAAGGCTACAGTGTGATACTGTACAGTCCAGGAGCACGCATGCCTGGAAAATTCCAGATCAAACCCCGAGATCTGTCCAACTTGATTGTCCGGATTCCAGAACTTTTAGAGCAAGTGGCTAGATTCCAACGCACTAGCCTCTCCATTTACCTGTACGACTCTCCAGTTCATCAAGAAGAAGAGGAAGCTGCGCCTCCCAAGTTTATGGGTGGACTTCATGTCAAGGTACCTACTAGTGGAGGAGAAGACAGTGAATTGACATTGGCTGCAGAAGACCTTCAAGAACATTTCAGTGATAGTTCGAATGGCCTGCACTACTATGAGGAGCAGCTCTTGATTGGCAATCGAAAGTGGACTGTTGTGGTGGCACCCAATGATGACACATTCAATGCAAGGATTGGAATGGTAATCTTCAGTGGAAGCTTGATCTTGGCTGCATCTCTGCTATTGGCTGCTTGGATGCTGCATTCTTTTCGACAATCCCTGCACATGAAATAGGGTGTGTGAAGCAGTTTCAAGAACACGAAAAGAATCCATTGTTGGAACTATTGTATAATTTTAAAAGAATTTTGTTGCTTTTTGCTTCCAGCGCTTTGATGTCATCGTAGCATTGTTATAATTGCCCCAAGCTAGAGTTCCAACGGCCATGTAGGCCTTGTTGGTGTACCCATAATGGTGCCATTGTTCCTGCTCGCAAACAAAGTGAGCCTCCAAGATAGAAGTGAAACGAAGGGGAGGTAGGATTTCCTACTAAGGGGGACCGCTCCAACCATTGGCGTAGGCGATTTTGCTGCCCAAAGTGGCATACTAGTTCTTTGCGTTGTTGGCAAGGCAGGGACTTTCACCCTCCATGACATGTTACTGGTACAGTAGACAGGTATCTTCTAGCTCTTGCAAAAACTATCAAAATTATCAAGCTCTACGAGTACTAGTACGCCACTACTCCAGCAAAACTTTTGGTTTTCTCTCGCCAAGATTCGAACTTGGGATGCTTGATTCAAAGTCAAGAGTGATAACCACTTCACTACGAGAGAATTCTTTGGTAGAGAACACTGACATGTTTTTGCAGCTTTGAAGTTCGTTGCCGAGGTGGTGATCCCCGCCATTGTGTAGGGTTATTCAAAGGGGTTACATGCGGGCCCACCAAACAGCAAGTCGACCATGGCCAACCACCAACCACCCTACAAATCTTTGGAACAAGGACAAACCCAAGCACCAGAGTAAGACCATAGCAAGCATGAGCAACAACAACAACGCAAAGTCCGGTAATGCCAAAGGCGGTGGCCCTCAAGCTCCTCGGAAAGAGTCCATATTAGAGCTTGCCAAGATGATGGACTCCTCGGTTCGTATCAAGTGTCTGGGCGGGCGCGAGTTGACGGGGATCTTGCGAGGATACGACGACCTTGTCAATCTCGTCTTGGACGAGTGCGAGGAATTTCTACGAGATCCTGAAGACCCCCAACGAATTACGGACAAGACGAGAAAGCTGGGGTTGGTGGTAGTCAGAGGGACACAAGTATCGCTGGTATCGCCGCAGGACGGCGTCGAAGAGATTGCCAACCCATTTGCGACGGGGGAGGAAGAAGACGAAGAAGAATAAAAAGTTTGTTCTTTGGGTTGTATGTTGGAGTTGGTGATATTCTACCATGTGCTTCCTTGGGGCGTTCTTATCTGGTCGCAGCCACGAACGTCCTTTCTGTGGGCCGTACGGACACTCGTGGTTCTGTAGCTAATCAGTCTTGACGACAATAAACAACCTTTGGACTGATTTTCTTACTAGCTAGAAATCACTCAGCGAGGGCCTTTATGTTCAGCGTAGTTGTCACAATAAGGATGCTCCACTGCACGTTGCCTAAACTTATCCGAAGAATGGCGATCCTTCAATAGACTGTTTATCTGCCGGTACGGGTAAGCAGACCTACAAGCTAGTTTTTTACCACTAGCTAGCTAGACTATACCTGAAGTTATGTGTTCATGTCAAACACACCCAGTTAAATTTCCCTTCTTTCCAGATTTCAAAAATACTCGTAGTCCAGGCAACAACCCCTCACCAGAAGAAGACGAGTGGACTCGACTCCAATGAAGCTTCCAACGCTTTCGTGAGGGCACCTCAGGTTTTTCGTCATCGGTTTCGAACAATGTGGTGTGACTAGTCTTGCATAAAACTCTAGCTAGTGGATATGTAATTGTTTAGAACGCTTGGCCGAATATGCCCCATATATCCTCTGGCCGACTTTTGGGTGCCAGTCTCAATCTTTGCATTGACGCGCACTGTCGGGTTTATTTTCCTGGTTCATTGCTGGCTGCTTCTCATGGCAGCTTGTCAAACATCACGCCCTTTTGCATTCGTCCCGGCATGCAATGCTGATTGGTTGGGTCTTGGGTTGGATTGCTTCTTCCAAAACTGCGATTTGGGTATCTTATTTTTAGTTTTTTTTGAGGGGAAGCAAGCAATAGCTTATCACATGCATCCGTCCGTCCAAATATCTTGTTTGAAGCACCCCTTGCGTCGGTTTCTTCAATAATCATGGCTCCGACCTCAGTGTACAAACCCTTAGATAGCTAATAGGCGTCGCACCCTCTCAGGAGGCAGTGTGGCCGGTGAGCAGGGAAATACCCGGGCCTCGGCTCGTGGGTCGTCCTGAAGCACATCTTGTCTGAATCCGTTAATAGACGTTCAGTTTTCCCCCCTTGCGTCGGTTTCTTCAAGAAATTTCCAAGTTATTCATCCTTCGTGTCTCTGAGTGGTATCATACTGCACCCCAGCTGGTTGACCCATACATGGATCATGTACAGTCCTAGAAGCACATCCGGCACGGATGCTGCCAGAAGCATCAATAGAGATGCTTCGCCTCGTAGATAATTTCGAGCAAACAAAATCGCAGCCACCGTTTTCCCCGATCCTCCCAACAAAACCAGCAGAGGATGTTGATGAGCACCACCCTGATAGATGCGATAATAACCAATGGAATACCAGGCAATCGCGTTGAGTGATAGTTCAAACAGGTTCTTGGTCAATCCTGGTGTGGTCAGCAGCGCAAAGTCCTCGGGGCCAAAAAATATAGGTAGCATTGCGTCTTGGTCCAACATTCCCAGAAAGCACAGGATCAGGCTGGGAACCGTCAGTGCGAACGTTTGAATCGCTGACAGGAGGAATAGAGGATCATGTTTGCGAAAAGTAGTCGTCATGTCGTCATGTTCGTGTTGGTTTGGATTTGGCGAACAGATCTTTCTTTCTCATTAGCTGGCAAAACTGAAGGATACTTTCTTTAGCTAAAACAAACTGGTACCACAAGCGCTGACGATCCAGGATACCTTTTGGGATGTTCCTGATGCTTGCCAAGATCCTTTTGAGGATTCTTCTACAGGATCCTCTTACAGTGTCACAGGATCCTTTCTTGGCTCATTTTTCTTTGGAAAATCAAAGCTCAAGGTATCTTTTCCAAGATGTTTACAGCCATCGCTAAGTATCCCTGAAAAAAGACTCTTTTTGGTATCAATAGTCACCACCAGCTTAGCCAACTCTATGATACTTAGGCTGCCAAAACAAGATCCATCTAAACAAGATGGATTTTGTGGCCACAAATTCTTGAAGATACTTAGGCCGTATACCCAAGTGACATTCAGTAGGAACCTCCTTCCACTGTCAAGCAATCAGTACCATCCGCATCTCTTGGATCCACTTTTGCATCTTCGCATCGACCAGGCAAAAAAACGACCTGGTGACAACTGGATGGAAGGAAAACACCCAGCATGTACTGTTTACAGATCTTTTCTTTTGATTACTCATACGAGAAAGCAATCATCTCTGTAGGTACGGTACACTACTTTGAAAGATCCAAACGAGAAAGAAAGAAAAATGAGAGGTACGTTGTTAGCTCATAATTTCTGTTCTCTCTTTGAGCAACCTTATCAGCGAGCTGATCCTATCCAGGATGGAGGTCGATTGGCGTCGACCAAATTCCAAAAGATGAGATCAGCTCGCATCCTCGTCGCTTCTCTCTTCTTCTATTAGAGTGCATCCATTATTGGCATTCGTCGAGAGAAGCAGCAAGATGAAAGAGCCATCGTACTATCCAACAATGCTTCCTTGGCCGGAAGAGTTGGTAAACGGTATCCATGGATGCCGGATGGTTTCTTCGCCCTGAATGCCGCCCCTTCCTCCTTTTGTGGGTTGGCAACGGATCGATCTGCTTTTGGGTTCCTATCCAAAAGACAGACAGTCAAAAATGTTTGGAGAAAACTAACCAAGAAGCAATCAACTCGTTTGCGAGAAGCATCCTGACAGCAGTTCAAGTTGGCAAATGTGTGATGGCAGCTAACTTTGCACCCAAGACGGATACGGGCTTGTATCTCTCTTGATGAATGTTCCAAAGTTATGCTGTGGCATGCACTGCGCCAACTCGAGCTGTTCCATGATGTTTCCAATGACGACAAAACTCCCTTCTTGGCTTGTTCCTCCTTCCATTGCTTCCGTAAAGAAAACAAAAACAAAAACAAACACACAACAAACAAAAACAGTATTCCAGCTTCAAAAAACAACTTCCAGTGGCAAGAGCAAACGGTGGTGGGCACTACCAGTCTCTTTGCGCGCTTCATAGAACAATTTTAACCATACTAATCCAGTTTCTAACTTCAAGTGATGTGTGCTTGTAACTACCGGTAGCTAGGTATATATATGTTGGCAACGAGCTCCTCAAGTCTGTTTGGGTACAACTAGCCAGTAGACGAGGCTGGTCCCTGTCTGCTGGTGGACTTGTGATCCCTGCCTGCCTGCCTGTTCTTCAAAGGATCTGGCAAAAAAAACTGATTTCTCGGCCTGTTCGGTACGGGTATATGCTGTTCATGACGGGTATGCCACTGGCGGAGGCAGAGGAAACAAGAGATCCCTCAGATAAAGAAGGTCAACAAGGGAGGAGAGCCTATGGGGGCTATTTGAGCTGTGAGAACTAGCTATCCCATACAAACACTTTAGTCTATCTAAGCCATGTCTACCAGTTACGCATTGTGCTTGTAAGAGTGTCAGATCGTGCTCCTCTGGACCGAAAATTAGCTAGGAAAGACAGAAACTGGAATCGCTTCAGAATCTTATGTACTATATCATTTCAGGGTGGGATGCGACCACTTCAGCACCTCTCTACTGTTTGGCTGTTACCTTGACTGCTCCAAGTTGGTTCCGAAGTCGCTGTCCGGGCCATCGTCGCTTCACAAAAGCGTTTTAAAAACCAAGTTCAGATGTTTTCCATTCACAAGTTCAGATAGATCTACCCAGTCATTGTTTTACTCTCGTTCCTCAAGTGCCCTCGAGAGACTTGTAGTTTCTGTTCTATTTTAGCTGTGTTATGAGTTTATGAATTGCGAGCAAAACTGAAGACCACGACGAATGCTCAACAATGCATCTGAAAGCTGTTGATGGCTCGGTCGACCTTGCTTGTCACTGTCAATGGGATGGCCTGCATTCTTCTTCGTCGATGGATTAGTCTTCCAAGCTTTGTCGCTTTCTTAGCAATGAGCTTGGATGTTTTAACATGCTATTACGAAGGACATCATCGTACCTCACCGCCAGATAGGTGTTGTAGTTGATGTGTCAACGCCTGCTTGAGGTATTGGACAAAATGCACGGTGTCCACAAGCTAGGCTACCGCACAATTGTCCAGCTTGCCGAAAGGGCAGCCGTTACTGGTGTGGTCCTGATGACATTGTTGGCAGTCTCAAGGCCAAGCAACGAGGGCGCCCCACTTCGTTTGGTCGGGTGCCTTTGCGACTTTGCGTCGGACTGTAATGTCCAGGCGGTCCTCCTCTGTCTGTGTAGATTACTTTGTCTGTGTAGATTGATATATTGCAAATGCTATGCATTATGAAGTGGTAATCACGGAGGATGTCTTTTTTGTTTCATGCGAAAGGCATTCTGCTTTGGATGCCCTTTTCCGACATGGCGAGACAGCGCTGATGTTGTCGTCGTGGTCTGCAACTCGAGGATGTTGTTGTTGCTGTTCTTGTTGCTACGAGCAGCACCAACACTCATGGGTGGGTTCGGCCGTCCACTATTGTCTTTGTTGAGAAAGGCATTTTGCTTTCGATGCCCTCTTCCAATGTGGAGAGACAGCTCCGGCATTGTTGTGGTGGTCTGCAACTGGAGAATGTTGTTGCTGTTGTCGCCGTTCTTGGTACTAGCAGCAGCAGCACCACCAGTAATGGATGGATCCTGCCGTTCACCTTTGTTGCGAAAGGCGTTTTGCTTTCGATGGCCTCTGCCAACAGGGCGAGATGATGTTGTTGTTGTCGTCGAGCTGGTCGATTGTAGCTCGAGAATCTTGGGGTTGTTGTTGGCGACAACCGGATCTGCCCGCCGTCCCAGTATGATCGGCTCCACAATGTCCGTTTTGGACAACAAAAAGTAAATGGTAATGGGTGCAATCCCCGCAATGGACTTTGGTTCCTGCACGAATTGCAGGGCAAGTTCTCCCTGACCAACCAAAAAGGCATCATGGGTAAAGAACTCGTCTCGAAGGTCCGTGGCAAATCGACAAATACGAACTCCCGGCGGGCAATTGATCAACGTCAAACCAAAGGGATCTGGCTTGCCCCCAATCACGGAGTGCTGTAACAAGGGTTCCAACACCTCTTCGGTATCTTCATAGGCTTCTCGGCTGAATATAAAAGTGTTGAGATAGGCAATCTCGACCGGTGCTTCGTCCGGAGGCAGCGGTGGTGCTTCGATGCACAGTCGAGTGACAGAAGAGGAGATTGTTTTGGTAGTGAAGGAAAGACGGTTCCCTTGCCAATCGCATTCAAAGACCAATGCAAAGGGGTATTGTCGTACTGCTCCAATGACTGGAGTTCCGGGGATGGGTGCTTGGGCGGAGGTGGATGTTGGTTGGGTGTATACGGGCATGCGACTGGGGGCTACAGTGACATCTGGCACTGGAACGAAAAGGGTTGGCCTGGGGGTGGGTGCTGGTGTGGTGGTTGGTAGGAACAGTGGAATAGGTGGTTTGCTTGTGGGTGCGGTGGTTGGTCTTTGCGTACGGTTCCCGGTAATATTTGGAGCGATCGTTACATCGAATTCAGATTCATCTTTAACTGGTTCCCCCGTGTCTTGATTGTTGTTGGGCGATACCACCAAGACGATCCCCCCCGAGGCGATAATCAAACATGTTATCACTGTCAACAGCCAAGCCTTGTTGCCCCCCGACATGAACGTCAAACTGAAAGGACCTGCCATCTTGTGTTAGTCTCCTTTCTGAGCTTGTCGACACGTGCCCCTGATGAACTTAAGCCTGCCGCTCGCTTTCGTTCAATAACCCTATCCCCCTCTTGCTATCCCTCCCTGCCTGTCCTTCTTCTCCCTCCTTCCCCTTGACCGCCGCCTTCTACCTCCTCCTGCTGAACCCGCTCTCCCTCTCCAAGCGGGTTCGGTCGGATTCGGCACGACCTTGGGGTCTCTCCCAGCTATTGCTCCTAGCTACGTTGCTGGTTGGTTCGTCACGAATTCATTCATCCGTCTCTATCTGTCTCTACTATTACGGTACGATCGAAGACTCGCTCGAATCGAATCGATCATCATTGTCTGATTGACCTTGGCCCTCCTCAATTTGCGGAAGAAAACCTGAGCGCCCGCCCGCCAAAGGAAAAAGGCTAATTAATATCCATCAGCTTGTCGCCCCCACCTAATTGATTGGGACAATTAGGCGACCGCCGACAACAGATTTATGGCAACTATGGTTTCCAAATTTCTAAAGCGGTGCCGGCTGTAAAAGATCCACAACAAAGGTTCGCTTCGGGTTGAAGGTTCGGGGTTTTGGTCCGGCATCAGAGTTCGGGTTCAAAAGAAAAGCAAACGGATTGCTCACAATTGGCCCACAACACCCGTCCACAACACCATAAGGAGACCTTATTATAGAGTACTAGTAGCCTTAAAATAGAATTCTATCACAAGACCAAGGAGACCAAGACCATCAACATAATGCCTCTGTCTTCAGCAATGCGTGTCCTCGGTAGAGCCAGGCTGAGAAATTTCAGCTTGAAAAGACCCAGCCATTGGACGATTACCACCCGATGCTCTTCTAGCAAAGATAAAGCGACCCAGCCAACAACGTGGATCGTCCCAACAGTGGCGTGTATATCCGGCATTGTAGTCCTTTGCGGGTTGGATTTTGTGGCTCCCACAATCACACAAGAAACTAAGCGTATGCCTCCCGACAGAACGTTTTGGAACGACAAGAGTGCCTCCTCCTCAACAACAGCAATATCTGCCTCCAAAGATCGATCACCGTTATCCGGCGACACTCGCCACCACTACTCGTATGTCATTGTGGGATCTGGAATGGCGGGATTGCATACTGCCTTGGCACTGGCAGAACGACAACAATCCAAGGGAGGAAATATTCTCCTCTTGGATGCTCATTCCATCGGTCAATCCGCCTCTGGGAAATCCAAGGGTTTGGTGGTCCCTGGAATACAAGTTCCAGAAAAAGACTTGGCACGAATCTGTGGTTCCACCCACATTGCCAAGCAAGTCTATGATTTAACCCACAAGGCAGCAATACGGTTGAAAGAGGATATTGTGGAGCGGTACAAGATTGATTGTGATTGGGTGGATGCGGGTCTGGTGGAAGCGAGTTTGTACAAGCATAATGACAGCCACCAAGATGAGGAGTGCCATCCTCTGACGGCTGCGGAAACTCGACAACTGCTGGGTCAACCCAATACATCTACCTTGTACAAGTCTGGAGAATACGATCCTTCCTGCTCTGGAGTGGATCCTTTGGCTCTGACTCGTGGGTTGGCCACGGTCCTAGAAAACCAATGGAATGTACGGATATGCGAACAAACCAAGGTGACAACAATTGATGCTATTCCAACACTGCCTCCAGACGAAGCATCCAACCGCACTGAAACAAATCCAGCCTCCAAGTACGTGGTGACAACCGAAGCAGGGGCTCAAATCGAATGTCAACATGGTAGGTCGTCTTTGGTGTACAAACGGATGAAAGATGCGGACGACAGACTCAAACTTTTTCTCAGTTGTCTTGTGCACGGGACCAGAGTTAGTGTCCAGGAAACTCTCGAAACAACTGGCAAATGCCATTATCCCAATCTACACCTGGATGGCCTCCACAGTTCCCTTGAATGAGCAATGTCCTTTGAAAGATGGTGTTATTGACACTATACTTCCTCCAGATGTTTCACTGGACGACAGGGAAAAGGAGAAGAAGGAGCAACAACAACCCACACCGGCACCACTGTGCGGCGACGACTTTGTGAGTCTCAACTATTGGAGACGTTCCAAGGACAGTCGCATCCTCTTTGGTTCCTTGGCGGATGCCTATCCCATTCCCCAATGGCTGGCAGAGTATCGGCTCCGCAATTCTCTGCATCAAGTCTATCCACAATTACAAAATGTTCCTTTTGATCATATTTGGAGTGGACGATTGGCATTCCCCCGCGATGCCATTCCACTGATTGGACGAGATGAAGGATATGACCATCACGACAATACTAGTACCAATCCCACGGACGGAGGAGTGTGGTATGCCACTGGATTTGGTGGTCATGGCATTGTGCCGACAGTCATGGCGGGTACCATATTGGCGGATGCCATTTTGGGGGTGGGCAACAAGGATACATGGCAACTGTTTCAGTGGGAGTTTCCACCCAAATACTCCTTTTGGCCCGTGTCGCGGTTGGGCGCCCAAGCCATTCTAATGACTTACAGTTTGACGGATTGGCTTCGTTTGAAGGGCGTTCCAATTCCCAGACTGCCAAAACCATGGTAGATGATTATTTACTTGCTGCTGGTTCCTGCCCAAACACTTTTAAAAAGGATCCTGTAAATTTCAAAAACAATCCCTTTTAAAAATGCTTCCCAGCCAACTCCATCTATTTGCGTTCCACGCAAGAAGCAAGTTGCATACTACACTGTGTATGCGATCTCAAGAGGAACACGGTTTCACAAGGAATGATCCAGCATTTGGATGGTGAATCATAACTTATGCATAATTGCAAGATAGTTCAGCAACCTCATGAGAGGAATGCATATCAGCCCAAGATAAAGATAGAAAGAAGAAAGTGAGGCATGAATATTTTGTAAGCCTTGTTGGCTTGTACCGTTCTGTCGTTTGAAAGTTCCTCCGCGAACAGAACAGCTGCCAAACCGGTACTCCCATGGCCAACCGTCGTTGTCATCGTCATTTTACTGGTACGGTACGATTACACAGCTTTGAAGAGGAGGAAGACCATTCATTGCTAGCATCACATCAATCATACATCACCACATTAGACTACTAGTCGACCAAAAGAAGCAAGCTTTAGCGTTTGATCTTTCAGCTCTCTCTCGCCATCGCATCAAAGCTCGCGTCATTGAATGCCGAGAGGGGTATCATCAGGTGTGTGTTTAAAAAAGTACGATCAAGGAAATTAATCCCACGCTACCGTAAGCTACAGTACAAGTTAACAAAAGTGAAGCAAGATGCAGCAACAATCCCTGACGTCGTCGTCGACCAAGACGCTTGGAAAGAAGCGCAAAAAGGCTCAAAAAGGTAACAGCAACAATAAACAACCCCCACAGAGTCGCGTCGATGTGGAAATGGCCATGCTGCGAAAATTGCTGTGGGTATTGGGCGTGGGGTTACCCGTCACCATGTTTCTCGTCTGGATTGTCACCACCACCGTCTTTGGCAACAGCAACAAGCAGGACCAATACAACAAACGCCAACATACGTGGAGACCAGTGGATGCGTCCACCGCATGGCCCGAGGCAATGTTACCACCATCACCCGTAGGACCGCAAACACCGGCATCACCCATGCCACCTCGATCGGCATTGCAGAGCGATTGGAATGGCAGTGGACGTCACCACGAAGAAGCACGGTTGCAAGATGGAGCGTCCAAAGCATCGCTCCATCGTCATTCTCATGATGCGAATCATCCCAAAAACCGCAATGTCGATTGTACCGCTCTGAGCGAACCCATGGTGGATGCCATTCAAATGGGCAGTTTTTCTCATGCCCGCCATTTGGCACTCCAATTACAAAACCATCATCCCGACTGTGAATCCACACTGGCGTCGCTGTATACCCAACAAGCCGATGCTTTCTTGTCCGTGCGTCCAGCTGGAGTCCCCCTCTCGCGCGTCGCTCTCAATAGTGGGACAGCACGCAACCACGCTGTATTGGAAGAATTCAATTGTTGGACACCCGGACGAGAAGCCATTGATGGATTGGATGTCGAACAGGCATCGGATTTGGTACTCGATCGATGGGATGCCTGTTGTTCCCAGCTAACTCCCAAACAGGATCTGCTGTGGGACGACGAGGAAACCAAATCGGACGAATATTGTGTCCAACCCAATGCGCCCAAAATCAAGCATCCACCCGCCTTTGCGGCCGAGTTGTTCCGACCCACAGGAGGAGGTCCACGCCTGTGCTGTGGTCTCTTTGCCGGGTCCATGACGCATTTGCGATTGCCGCTCATTCACGAAGTCACGTTGAGTGTCCGGCTCTTGACATCCCCCACCAAAGCCTATCAAATTACATTGGAACAAGATGGATTTTTACGCAAATACGACCCCGCGGGCGTCTTGTGGCCCGCCGGATACATGATGGGGCTCTGCTTGTCCACGGCCGATACGTATTGCGGAATTCCCGAACTAATACAAGCCGCACGCAATCATCACGATACCGTCATTTCGATCGAACTGGGTGCTGGGATTGGACTGCCCAGTATTGTCCTGAGTCGGTATTTGCGAGAGCATGATTTGGAAGTCCCGTCCAAAGCGCCGCGCGTACTGGCGACCGACAAGGCGATGCATGCATTGGCATTGATTGCGGCCAACAGTCAAGCCGCCGGTGTCCCCGTCTTGGTGACACATGCCGAAGATCATACCAACACGACCGTATTGGAGACCATGATTGAACGAACCCTGGAAACGGTCGGGGGAGGATATGCCATTGTGTTGGGGGCCAGTTTACAAGCCCTCTTTGACTGGAAAACACGCGATCCGCGACACAAACTCTGGAAAGTGTTGGATACGCTAGTGTGTCGCATCAATCCCGATGCCGTGGCCGTATTGGCACATGTGACGGGAGCCGTGGTGCCACCGTCGGAAGGTGGTATTTTTGAACTGGTGCGAACCGTCTCGGCGGGTCATTTGCATATGAAATCCAGGAGTGGAGACGATTCCGATTTTCAGATTTCCGTATTTCGTCGCAAGAGACAACGGCAATTGCCACCACAACAACAGGGTGCGGGGGCCAAGAAGGAATTGTAAAAAGGGATTATTATTGTTGCCACTTTGTGTTAATTCAGAAGTGGCATGGTGATCCAACCAACAAGGTCGGAAGTTGCTTGCAAGAAGCAATACGCAAACCAGCAGAAACTAAGTGGCAGATCGAATGTGGACCAAGTCCTCTTTGATCGAATGAATCAAGTCAATCAACTAGTCTACAACTTGCTCCAGTTGAATGAAATTTGCTGGGTGTTTCAAAAATACTGCTCAAGATGGTTGTTCTCTGAAAAGGGGTTTACTCCCAGATCACCTACCTGATTTGGTGTTTTCTGTGCTTCCTTGCCAGATAGATAGAAAGTAAGTCTGCAGCTGACCATTTTCTACCCTTGCTAGCTAGCTGGCGCTTGAATGAATTAACCAGTAAGGGTAGTTTTTTGCGCCACTCCGCCAATATGGGTGCTGTTCGTACTCTACTAGTCGCTTCGACCTGATACATATATCGTACTGTACATTTCTACAATATTGATTACGAATCCAAAGAGTTACTAGCTAGTACGTATTAAAAGTGTTAGGTTCTACGGTAGCGCCAGTTCAATCAAGATTGTCACGTTGGCTCACAGCCAGCATGTCATTTATTTGACCTCGGTACCTTTCGGAATGTACTGCAAAAGTGCGCTGGGTGACAATTATTTGATCATAACGCGCCACCGGATCCAGCAATCAGAAATGTCACGTTGGCAGTACCATGCGTAGGCTCCAAGACAATACATAATAACTAGACTAACTTAGTTATTAGGAAGGAGGAGACTTTCCCGACTTGTTGTGTTTGCTGTTGTTTCCAACTTTTTTATTGTTGCGTTGTCTCCCACGACCACGAGCCCTCGTGGGAGTGCTGCTGCTTGCACCAGTGGGTGAACCTTTGGTGGCCGTGTCACTCAATTTTTTCAACAGTAGAACTGCCGCCTTGACATTCTCTGCGGATGTCCCAAAGACGGTCAGGTCCCAGTGACCATCCTCCGTCTTTTTCTTTTTAATGGCGGTTTCCGTCTTTTTGCCAATGGTCTTGAGTTTGGTCTGTGGCGGCAACACTGGAAGCGTGACGGTTTCAGACTCTTCGTCTTTTTCTTGCTGCTTGTCATTTGCCTTTTTCTTCCCACCTGCTTGTTGTTGTTCATTATTGGAATTGGATGTGGATGTGCTTGTGATTTCGAGGATGCGTTCCAAGCACTGTTTGACATTCTCGAGTTCCCCCTCGAGTTGGATAATATCATGACGGAGTTCTTTTCGTGGAATCATGATTCTCACATGGCAGTCGGCCGACAGATTTCCCAAAATAAATCCTCGTCGTCCCACCACGGCCGCATGCTTGTTGCGCCCTAATGGAACATCCATAATGACATCGTCCATAATCCGGCCGGCCTTTTCGTTCAATAACTGGGCACAAACAAGCGTCGCACACGGATCGGATCGAATGACGACCGGTGTCCAATTGGGATCGGAGAAATCAAGTTCCGTGTATGTGTACGGGACACTAGAGGAGGAGGAGGAATTATGCGTTGTTGTTGTTGTTGTTGTGGTCGTTGCTGCGTTGTTTGGTTGTGCGGATGGCGACTGTTGTTGTTCGGGAGAGGATGCTGTTTCACTATTGTTCTGTTGTGCTTGCTGTGGTTGTCGTGAAGAATGATCATCGCCCACTAGTTCATTCTGCTGATTTCCCAGAATGCAAAGGCGAACGAGTCCGTGGGACGTTCCTGCCTGTTGCGCTTTGTGTTGGATCTTATCCACCGTTTGTCCTTTCCGTCCAATCACGGCTCCGACACTCGCAGAGGGAATGTAGCAGGTCAATGTGATGAGCGGTTGAATCAAGACGGATTGCTTGGCAGCAATGGAGAGGAGCACTTTGTCGTCTGTATCGGGAGTTATTCGATCAGTGACAGCAGCAGCACTACTACTCGCCGTCGCTGTTGCTGGTGCCACCTTCATTCTCACTCTCTACCCGTATCGGTTGTCTGAAGTATCGATAGAAGAGACGGCACTCACTCTCGGCCATCCATCAAGTAAGTCTCAATGCATGGAGGAGCACAACACCAAAGATTGAGTGAAGAGATTCGATTCGAAGAGAAGTGTCGAGAAATAAATAAAATTAAAATTGAAAACAATAGAAATATTCGAATTCTGCTGCTAGCTAGTCGACAACAGCTGCTTTACAGGAACAAAGTCTCCGTCATCTAATCAACAGCACAGCAGTCCGAAAAACCATGAGGTTGTTGGTACCAACAGTTCCCGCCATTCTTCTGCACACCACCCTGCAGCACAGCAGGACCATGGTGCATCTCCATGGAGCCGCCACCATGACCAGTCGATCCCGCGTTCGTGGAGCAGCACTCCAAGCAAGCTTATTGACCAATAGTAATACTAATATGGACCCCCCACCACCCAACCCGCTCAATCTGTTGTCGGAAGATCAATTGGCAGAGAAGGTGGACATGTTGTTGGACTGGTGGCACGACAAGAAACAAGTGTTGTGTATCACGGGAGCGGGTCTCAGTACCGAATCTGGATTGGCCGACTACCGAGGCCACAATGGATCCTATCATCGAGGCCACAAACCCATGATTCATGATCAATTCATGGGCTCGGAATACCAACGAAAACGCTATTGGGGACGTGGCATGGTGGGATGGACCAATTTCTTTACGGCCAAACCCAATAAAGGGCATTTGGCGCTCGCTTCGTTGGAACGAAATAAAAAGATTGGTGTCACATTTGACGATCAACCTGAGTTCTACAATTCAGAACAAGACGACTCTTGGCTCTTTAGCTCGGGACAACAACAAATGGCAATCATCACACAGAACGTCGATTCCCTCCATCGACGTGCCGGGTCCACGCATGTCACGGAACTGCATGGGAGAACCGACATGTTGGTATGCATGTCCTGTGGGGCGAAACGAGAGAGAAACGATTTTCATACCGAGCTCGAAACGAGTAACCGCGAATGGTTGGAACGCGCCATGAACGAGGCAGAAATGAGACCGGATGGGGATGCCGCTCTTCCGGATGACAACAACAGTTACTACAAATCTCTCTGCATTCCGCCCTGTCAAAGTTGTGGTGAGGGCTTTCTCAAACCCTCGGTCGTCTTTTTTGGTGACTCGGTGCCAAGTCACCGCAGAGCGCGCTGTAGCGCGGCGGTCGACGCGGCCGATGGATTGCTAGTGGTGGGAAGTTCACTGGCGGTCTATTCGTCCTATCGACATGTACGAGAGGCCCATCAAAAGGGCACGCCAATAGCCATTCTGAATGTGGGAGAGACCCGCGCCGAGTTGGAGCAATTGAATAGTGTCACCAAAATAGAAGCTCCTGCAGGACCTACTCTGCAGCGGATTGCCCAACATTTTGACACACAGAACAGTTAGTGATAGATAGACTACATCGTACATCTTGACTAGAATATATCAATTTTGGCTTTTTTTGCAACATACATGGCTGCTCGTGTGAGACAAAGTCTGCAAGGATGTGGCAAGGATGTGCAATCCACGCTACATTCGCTATAGTTTGTTGGCACGGGATCGGATCGAACATTGATGCCAACGGAATCGAATCCTCGTCGTTTTCCCGTTTTTAGAACTGACTCTCCCACTGGTTTGTACCATGGGACACCAACGCCCTCTAGCTAGAGATAGGAGAAGCAAGCAATCACACCATTTGGCTGAGCAAAAAAAACACAGGAATTTGAGCGCCATGTCTGCCCCCGGGGTGGATACTGCGATCTGTGCATAAAAGATCAAGTCTCTTTCCTGTCATACTAGTTGTTGTTGACACGTTGGCTGGCCCGGATTACCAACATACCGGTCCACTTGGTGTTCTTAGGTATCAATCCAAGAATCTAGCTAGCTAGGCCCTTCAGACAGCAGGACAGCATTTGAGTTGGCCTTCTTTTATCACGAGCCGCAGAGGAGCTCTTCGTTTTGCCGTGAAGCCAGGACTACCTGCACCCATGTTCAAAATAGTACGGTACAGATACTCTGTACCGTACTCGTACGGTACTCTCTCACCAATCCATACTACGGTAGGAGTGTCTTGCTGCAGGTATGCATATATATGCATACCGGTAGGTGAAAATTATTAAATAATCCTATCAGATTGAATGATTCGATTCAATCCATTCCTTCCGAGTGGAGTCCGTTTGGTGGTTGTACATTGTACCTGGTACATGTACCCGTACCGGTACGACTGTACCGGTATCATATCTTTCAACTGAAGTGCTCTCGACAATGGCGCTTTCGTGGCGCGAGCAGCACCGCACCTCTGCCGTTCCGTACGGTACGGTACCGTACACGTATCACACGTACAGTCGTAGTCTACATGTACTGTATGTTACGAGTTGATTGAGGCTAGTTTTGCGTTTCGCAGCTTCGCAGGATTGCTTCGTTCCGGTTGGGTCGGTTTGAAACGGCCAGCGCACCTCCTTCTCGAGGGAGGTGCGTTATTGTCACGAAGGCGCACGGGAAGCCAAGCACAGGCGTCCGGGATTTGCTCTCAACGTCTTATCGTTCTAACAACAATGCGTTTTGCTCCTTTAAATACAGTAATCATTTAGTCATGGCATGTCGCTGAAACCATGGCCATGCCAGATTGCGCTCAGTGTGGTCTCATTCATCTCTTTATCCTCTCATTGCTCCTTGATGCCTGCAGTGCATTGGCTGATCCTCTGCCAGAGGCGCTGAAGATGAAGTTGCGGACTTTCACGTCGTCCACCAGCAATGATGAGGACGAGTTCGATTTGCTGAGACCTTCTGTGTCGAAAGTTCAATTTGAAGCATCCAAGATCGGCAGAACTTCCTCGTATCGTAGCGCTGCTCGATATCATGACGAAGATCGGCACGATGAAGATGACTATGGGCATCAAGAGGAGGACCAGCGACAGCAAATATCCGATATTATGCGCCAAGCTTCAGCACCACGAGAGCGAATGAGTCATCAGCACATGCCTCGTCGTAGCCAAACGAATTTGGGCCATATTCGCCGCGTACCTTCCTCTGCGTCTCGAGAACTGGAGGACTTCTATCGCAAACGATCAGCTGCCCCTGTAAAGGCCAATACATTTCCAGCAAGTTCAAACTCCTCCGTAAAGTCAACCCCAATTTCGAGACAAGCGTATCCCAAGGAGAAATGGGTGCGACCGGCTCCTTCGCTGTTGCGAGTGGAAAGTGTCACCGACAACACGGTTGATTCAATGGATGATTTCTTAAAGCAATATACTCAATATGGCAAGTATGAAGTCGACAAAACCAGTCTGATAAACAGCAAGCTCCGAGATCCTAATGATTGGGAAGACGACCGATACGAAGGGTACTTTTCGCCTGATCGGAGCTATTCTAGTGATGACGGTATTGCATTGTGGCGTAGCGAGGACGAAGAGTCTTCTGCATCTGATCGCAGCAGTGAAGAAGACGATTGGGACGAGGATGTAGTTCATTCAAGGAAAGCTGCTAATAGGAAGATTTCAGTCAGGGCCGTATCCACCTACGACGACGATGAACACACGGAGAGCTTTGAGATGATGTCATACGATCCCGACGAAACCCAAACTCTTAATAGCGATCATCGCGTTCACCACCAGCACGACCCACTGACGCCCAGTGCTTCTTTCGTTGATAAAGTTGTGGATAAGGCGTCCAAACAGTTGGCCAAAAAGATGGAGAAGAAGCTGAAAAAAGAACTCAAGAAACAGAAGAAGAAAGAAAAACGTTATAAGAAGAGAAAGAAAGCGTTGAAACGAGAGAGGTCCGGGGATGGAAAGAAGAAGTCTGATCTCAAAGATAAACTTCGCACCATGTCATTAGTTTCCCACTCCTCCAACGCAAGTGCAGCAGGCAATAAGAGTCATGAAAGTGATGGCAGCGTTGAATTGAACAAGCTCCAAAGTGACGAGGACAAGAAAGATACGAAGTCTGTTTCCTCTTCGAGTTCTCTGTCCATACAGCAACAGAAATCCTTTCGCGAACAGCACCGCCAAGAACACCGTCGTTGGGTGCGAAAGAGAAAGGATGGAGCACCGTACCCAAGACTTGATAACCCATCCGATGAAGAAGAGGTTTCCCTGTCAAATGCATCTACTGGGTCCCTTTCTACTACAGAGCAGAGGCGGTTCAGGAAGAAGAAACGGAAGGAACATCTGAAATGGTTGGAGCAGAGGAAGAACGAACGAGCAAGATACCCGTATCATGGCAGTCAGGATGAAAGTGACAGCGAGTATGCTTCTGGTGAAGACTTGGACGAGGCTTCAGCCCAGCGAAAGAAACGATCTAGCAGTATCCCAGTCTCGTTACAGGCAATGCCTAGCATGAAGTCGTCCTATACCGAGGACACCACTATCCCAATCAAGAAAACCAGAGGAAGCAAAAGTGTGCGTAAGTTCTTTGGAGGCTTGTTTCGATGGCCTCGATCCAAGCCAAAGAAAGACCGAGTCATTGACGAGCTGATGGCCAAATTCGACAGCCAATCGTCCCAACAAGCCACTGGCGAGGGTGGAGAGTCCGCGGAGGATGAAAGCGAAACGGATGACAGCCTCCGCTTCTTCGATCGAAGGCCCAAGCCTGATTATCTCCCATGGGAAAAGGAAAAGGACAACGAAGCGGAGAAACCAAAAGGACTTGTGCAACAGGTGTTGGCGAATTTTCAACCCCAAACGGAGGAGCCTGCGCCTCGGACTGTGGAAGATCTGCCTTTCCCACAGTCGGACAGCTACGACAGTTCCTTAGCCAAGCTGGATAAGTATGGGGATATCACCGACGGGCTTCCAACTCTTGTTCCCGGCGAAGAAAAAGAGTACGGGGACGCCAAGTTTGAGCCGCAGATCTCCAGCGAGTTCTCGGAAGAGTCGTCCACCGCCATCAAGAAAAAGCCGATTCAAAGGGCCAAGAAGGGTCTTGGCAACTCGGTAAAGAAGCTCTTCATCAAGAAGTAGTATTGATCAGCAGCCAATATCTACTTCCTCCTTTCAGCAACCAGTGCCACCTTCCTCAACGACGACGCGCGCCTCCCACGTGCATTGCCTTGATTCCTCATTCCGGCCCCGGTTTCTTTGCCTAAAAGGATTGTTTGCAGCTTTTCATTACAGTGCTTTTACTAGCTAGGAAACAAATCTTGATTGCAGCCAACGACGATATTACCATGCCGTCTATGAAGCTGCAACCATGGAGTGACGAGTCGTTGAATGTTGCCCTCAACACATCCCGACATTGTGTCCTCTTTCCCGTTGAAGTACGGGGCTGGGTCGCTGTGTGCTGTTTCTCGAGACCCTAACTAGCTACTAGCTAGTACACCCTTAGTGCACGTCGTTAGTGGAGGGCTTTCTGGTGGTTGGTGATATTGCCTATGGGGGCGTGTCTGCAAGGTTGGTTGGTTGGTTGGTTGGTTGGTTTCTGGTAGATAGTTGTGCGGTTTTAACCCCTCAAAGTACCGGTAGTCTAGACATTAAACTGGCTACTAAAAAAATCATCAAGAACGACAAGCAAAGCGGAAACGAACAACGGGCTAATAACCAGCAGGAAGGATAAGCATTCGACAATGGGGGCACATGATGATACCGGGCAGAATACCTGCACAAGCTATCGGGTTACTACTGCGCTACCCGCGTTATGGACAGTTGCCAATCTTTCGGATGCTACACGCGTGCACCCTGCAATTCGAATACCTTTCCTACAATTGCTGTCTTTGCACGGTATTCAAACGCTCAATCTAAATCTTGCGGGTCTTTTTCCTGTTTTTCTTTCGCCGCTTCCTGAGCTTGTGTTTGTTCATCTTCCGATTTCTTCGCTTCAAAGTACTAACCATCCAAATGGCAGTCTCCTCTAGAACTTGTAGGACACGCTCTGACCATGTCGTAACAGGTGGATGAAACGCCGTCGACTGAACCACCAGAGCGTTGGTTGGAGGTGACGTGCTGCAAGAAAGGTTTGGAAGTGGCCTTGATACACTACTCGTAGGAGCCAAGGCCAGGTCATGAAACGACCTCAACTCTTGTTCAGATCTTCGAATTATTAAGCTCGTTGAAGCTTGCCGAGAACCCAACAAAGACGGCACGTTTCGCCTCGTGGACGCCATTGCGGCGTGGCGTAGGCCCATCATGGTAGCTATTGTGCTCTGTTGGGTATCGACCTGTCCGCCATTGACTGTCACTCACCTCGGTCCATCCATTTTTTCTTTCGGATTTGATGTTGGCTGCCACCATTGATCCCTAACCCTACCAGTACATGATAAATGTTCTTAATAAAAGTACCATATCACGTTTCGCAGAGTGGGATTCGTACCTTTGCATGCTCGGCCTGCCAACTTTTCAGCGAGCTCACACAATTCCTGATTTATCCCTCGCCCTTCCGAACGCGGCGTTCGCCCTTTGGCGCACCACGTTGGCGATGACAATTGCGTGAGTTGAAACCTCGAGGCCATCTCTTGTGCAACAACAATGCACCGCTTTAGCTAGGAAAGGTGTGGCCCTTGGATACGATACAGACAACGAGTGAGATAGACAGCAATCGTTCTTTGAGTTAAACAACAGCAGCGGCAATGAGGCTCAATCCATTCCATAACCGTCGAGGACGCGACGATGACGAAGAAGAGAATGTAATGGTCCACAGATCCGGCAAATCACGTAATAAGTCCATGCCAGATCAACGTCAACGAAAACCAAGACGCCGCTACAATGATTCTAGCGACGACGACGAAGAAGAACGCTACAGCCAAAGAGATGTTCCAAGACGAAAAGACAGCACGTCCTTTGCCGACAGCTCTTCTCGTGGTCGTCCACGAGGGCGATCACCATCCGTAAGTCAACAACAGCAGCGAATGCGGTCCATGACACCCGGTGCTCGCAAGCGCTTGAGCAGTCAACGAGGCTCTCCCGAAGCATCCAACTCTCCAGAAGTAGATATTGGGAGACAGGACAGCACCAACCTCCAGACTCCGCCTCCCCGGCGTCCTCGTGCTCAAACACCTGATGCTCGCCGTCGTGCGGCATCGTCTTCTCCCGACAGTATTACACGGAATCAGCGAGGAGCTCGCCGCAATGGTGGTGGCGGTGCTGCCAGCAAGGCGTCCTCTTCCAGACGCTCCAAAACTACCGCCACGTCCTACTCCATGACCTTTTCCGATTCGTCGGATGATGAGGGACAATCTCGAAGACGCCGCGCTCCTCGACGTCCTTCTGCTGCTGCGAGTCGTAGCAGTGGCAGTCGACGCGGACGATCCCAGAGCCGTGGGAGGGTGGTCCCAGGAAGTAGTCTTCGACGCAGTCGAAGCCGTGATCCCACCATGTCTTCTCCCGAAGAAGAGTCTCGTCGTCCCAATAATAATAAACGGTCTGTCGACTCTCGCAAAGCTAGGAGTCTCAGTCGTCCTCGGCAGGGCCGTGGTGGACATCGAGCGCCGTCCCCTCCTCCACGAAAGCCACAATCCTCCAAAAAAGGAGCTAACAAGACTGCTCGGCATTCCTGGGGCGGATTTCTTCTCCGTCGCAACAACAACAACAACAACAACAATAACAAAAAGACCAACAAGGCTCCATTACCAAAGAGGCACGTGTATGCAAGAGATGACGAACTGGTGGATGTCCGTGAACCCAGCGATGAAGAGGAATTTGATCGTCGTCCCATGGGCAAGCCACAACACCATCACAGAGAACAACCAAGGGAGATTCCTTCGTTCCTACGTCCTCCCTCTCCTCCCGAACCGGTGCTCCACGATGAGCATTTTGTCGACCCAAAACGACGGGTACCTTTTGCTAATCTATACGAATTCGATAACTTCCCGGCCATTGATCGCGTCCCAACGGCGATAGGATATCAATCGGATGATTCTATCGACGAGTTTCACAACACTCGTCGTACCCAACGTCGTAGGCCGCGCCGAAAAGAAGAGGTTGTGGAAGACGACAATGGCAGAGGTGGAGATGATGATATCCAAATTGCCGATGACAATGGGTCCTTCACATCAAGATATTCCATCGATGTCAAGTCAATCCGTGGCGCTAAACTCAAAAAGAACAAGAACCACAAGAGCAACAGTATGCACAGTGCCCGATATCGAAATGGCGCCCGTGAAGACGACGACGATAACTTTTCTCACGATGAACATGACGACAAGTACGCTCAGTACTTGGCTGGTGTCAACGGCAATGCTGTCCTCAGCGATTCGTCGGAATCATGTCCTCCCACCTGGCATCCGACCCTGGATGTGGAAGATTCCGATTGGTACGATGAAGATGAAGTCACAAAGGAGACGATGAACAAACAGCGCAACAGTAACAAGAAATATCAAGTGAGTGGTGTCATGAGTGTCAGTGAACAGCTACAAAAACAAGCCCAGCAGAACAAGGGGCGAGACAATGGCAAGAAGAAGAAAGGTGGTGAAGAAGACAACAAAAAGGGCGGTAAACGTGGTGATGATAGCAAGGAAGATCAGACCGAAGCGCAGGAAGAAGAAGAAGAAAACAAGGGAGATGCGATTGTGGCAAATCGTTCGGAAGGAAGCGATCTGTTAGCCCCCAAGAGCAGTCGTGCCATTGTTGCGAATGGATTGTCTGATCCACGCTCTGGAATGAGAATGGCAGATGAAGAAGCTGACTCGGATGACGAAGATGAAATGACGGGTGTCCCTCGAAGATCGCGCCGTCGCAACCAGCAAAGGTTTGGCGGCAAGAATCGACAGAAGGACTACGACGAAGAGGATGAGGAAGACCTGGACGATGAGAGTATGTCGGAGGATTCATACTATGAAACGACGCGCTCAAATCGCAAGCCAAATCGCCTAAGCAAGCTCAGCAAGGTGCGAGGAAAACTTCCGTCGATGAAACCAGCCCTGACGAAGATGATGCATAGTCCCAAGGGCAAGGCTCTGAAAGAGAAGATCAAGAACCTTCGACGCGGAAGTCGCGGCCCTCCCGCCGATTATGAATCCAGCTCTGATGAATCGTCGGAAATGAGTGGTGGTAGTGCACGTATGGCTAACACTCAGTCTATGTTTTCGGAGGTGTCTCGGTCTCGTCGAGTCGATCCATCCCTCGCACAGCTAGAAGAGGACGAAATCAAAGAAAGCACTGCCACGCACAACATGCTCCGAATCGATCGGAAAGAAGTGGCCGAGCTGGACGAGATGGACGAAGTCTCAATACAACCAGGTTCCAACATGATATCGTGCGGTGTTTTCCCATTTCTTTCCGGGACGTCCTGTTTCTACAATCAAACGGATGCGCGCGTGGAAGAAATTCCACTGGATAGTGTTCAGATCCAGCGCCTTCGAGATTCCAAGCATGATCTGGAGAACAAACCAAAGGTTGAAGTCATTCTCCAAGATCTGCAAGATCCAATGGCCGAAAAGTATGACCAGCTCGAAAAGATGCAACGCAAGCAACAGCGAGAAGTACAGCAGAAGAAAGAAGCCCAGAAGGAAGCCGAAAAGCGAGAACGCGAAGAAATTCTCCGAAGGAAGATGGAAATGAGGGAAACGGAACAGAGAAAGCTGCATCATGTCCACAATAAGGATTTGACAATGCAAAAGGCTCCTGATCTGAACCGTGGAAAAAGCCAGAGCTTTGTGATGGACATTTCGGACTGGGTGCTCAATTTGGACAACAACGACGGTGCAGGAGGCGCACCCCGAAAACTGTCGATGTCATCCAAAGACAAAGATACACCAAGAACAAATGGGAAAGAAGGTAGTTCATCTCCGATCGAGAAGCTTCCTTTCAGCACGATCGAAGTCCCCACGGCTACCATGGACAGCGCCGAGAGCGACGACAAGATGCCTCCTAGCAAGGCTGGTAAACACCAGGGTTGGAGGCAGAAAAAGAAACGAGCAGTCAGCAAGACCCGTCAAGGGACCCCGGCTGCACCGCTTGCCAGCAGCACTGGTAAATCAGGCCAAAAGAAGACCGGGACAAAGAAGAAAGGTTGGTTCCGAAGAGGCTAGCTAGCATCAGAAGTAGAAAAGGAAGGGGTTCGGCCACGTAACTCAAAATTAATGTTTGGATGTGGATGTATGATTTGTAACAGTATTGTCCCCGCTGCCGGTTTCATAACCTCACTATAATAAGTAGCAGGCAGCCTGTGCAACAAACTCCAAACTTTAGAAGGGGGGCAAGCAGCCGGCCAAAGTAAGGGTACTAAGCACGGTGCTTTGGAGGATGAGCCAGGAGTTCGGTCTTACGGGGATCGCCGCGTATTTGCTAGGTGTTGTTTGGTTTTACTTTACAGTTGTTTCTACTACCAAGGTAGGGGACCAAGGGTAGGCAACCGGTGCTTACTACGCGGCCATTTTTCATCCATACCAGTAACGTAACTTATTATTAATAAAAGACTTTTACTGCATCAATAATGATTGTAGATAGGCTATAGCTAGATAGGCAATTGCCTTACCTGGACACAAGAGGACGGGGACACAAGAGGACGGACATAAGAGTTCTGGCCCTTGGAGCCACAACCAGGCAGACTATATCGTCGCTTTGGCCAACCGTCTCCAAAGTTGGTCCTCCAGAGTTTTGGTTTTACTTTGAAGCGTAGAAGCTAGCTAGCTAGCTAGTAGGCTAGAGCTAGCTACCTGGGTACAGTTGTTGCAGCGAGAGGTTGCACTTGGATACTAGCTAGTAGCTAGGTCTGGATTCGTCATTCAGTCAGTTGGATCATCGGAAGAGCTGGAACGCTGGAACGTTGCTCGACTCGACTCGACTCGACTCACAAACTTGGAGGGATTTCGGGGCGGCACCCTCTTGTTGCTTCCGTTCCTGCTGAGTCAGAAAACCAGTCAGAGCAAAGGTTATCTGCGTACTGGATTCTTCCAGTTCTGACTCAGCAGGAGAATGAAACTTCAACATGACACTTGAAGCTTGAAGGACAGATCCCCAAATCCGCTGGTCGGCACTTGTACTTTGGTACCCCATTAGTCATTAACCTAGCTACTATTATGTACTCAAGTATACGGAAGTGCAATGACGTGGCACACAACTAAGTGCTACATGTACTTCATGCAGCAATTCAACTTTCAAATTTATTGTCTTACCGGTACTTCCCCAACCGCATCAGAGAAGGGTCGAGTGCAACTGTCGCAGAAGCTCTTGCACTTTTGTTTGCTTGTCGAGGGAATGATATCAGTTGAATCTTCAATCCCCAAAGGCCTTTTCATTAGAATTGGATGCCGCCCAAGTTCCAGCGAACTCCATGAGAGGAGGGAGTAATTTTTATGAGAACCATCCCGGTCCCAGTACAGACCTTACAAGTAACCAACCATGGCGACAGCAAAAGACTGCAAGATCTAGCTTTTATGTACCGTACTGTTAACAGTAACTATCGTAGCATCAGAGCAACAACAAGAACTTGGCTAAACCATACACCATGCACAACCGACCAAGTTCAGTTGCCGTCGAATTGCCCCATCTCTCTACTAGTAGACGATGTACCGGTACCGGTACATATGTATGCATACTAGAGTCTCCAGCCAGCATTACCGCCAGGCAGGGAATGTGGTTCTTTTCACAGCATCAGGCTGTATTTCCTTCAACCCATAGCTCTTGATTGTCCCTCCAGTCACTACTATCTGCTAGTACAGAGTACTGTACGTACCTACTATGACAAAAGAGTAGTATCTACTTGGTAAAAGAAGGAAACTAGAACATCGAATGTTCTTTGCAATTGAGCTTGGACTTCACTATGGGAACTGTGTACGCAAGGGAAGCTGGCAGCTGGAGCAGCCAGCAACTGTGTTAAGTAATTCGAAATGCTTCAATTCTGATCATGATTGCAACTACGCTTTTGGGATCGGCAAGCCACCAAGACGTCCACGCGTCCACGCCACCAAGCCGTCCACCTTATCACTGGTGAAAAAGGGGTGTTTCGCTGTTCGCATCCGTTACACCACCCAACGTTGACAGGCTCGAATACCAGCACGTAGGAGCGAAGCAAAGCAGAAGGAGGAGTTTTGGACACAGCACGTCCTACTGGCTACCGGTAGTCCACCACCCACCACCGCGAAGGGTGGAGCGAGTCTAATAAAAACAAGCCTTCAAAAAACTGCTTTATCAAGTTACGCCTAAGCTGGATTTCTTATGATCTGTAGCTATTGGCATTTAGCTGGCTAGTGGCTGTATAAAGCAGAATGAAGAAGGCAGATTCCGATACCAGCGAGGAGGATACAAAGCCTCCCGCTCGAGATACCACCTCCAGCGCTGCCCAAGCGAAGGAAAGACCAGTACAAAAGCGAAGGCGCCCTGAGGAAGACATTGGCAGCCGAAAGAGACCTGCTGTGGCGTCCTTGCCTCGGGCTGCACAACAAGGAGCGTCAAATCCGCCCACAGGAACCCTAAAAAGCCCACCTGCAGCTGCGGCTCCAGCGGTTGCGAGGAGAGGTAGGCCCCACAAGAAGCAGAGTCCTCCTGTTCCCTTTGGCCCCGTGAAGAAGAGCAAACCACGCGGTAAAGTTCAATTGCAAGTTATGGAGGAAGAGGTGCCTAAAAATGAGACAGCAGAGGAAAAAAGGCTTAGACGGAATCGCAATAACGACCGGCGAAAGCGAGCTAGGAGAGCCATGAAGGTTGATTTCCTGAATGAGCAATACCATACTATGAAGGGGCAAAATGAGACGCTTAAAACAGAAAACCTGACTATACGAGATCAGATCACTGCCATTAAAAGAGCAATGGGAATGGAAGATGTTAATCCGACCACTCCATCTGGCGGAACGGCTGAGACCGATCAAGAAGCCGAAATGGCTGATGCTGAACCCACTCAAGCATCAGAAGTCATCGCAAGCTCGGTTAGAAGTCGACTGGATGGATCCATTATGGCTGCTCTGAACCGTCAGCTCTCCTCCCCTTCAAGTCCACCAGCTCTTCAAGCAACAACTGCTCCTCAAAAAAGGACGTCTGAGTCACAACAGGAAGCACCTCAAGAAAGTCCAATTCAAACCTCAGCGAGGGCACCGGTAACCGTTCGAGAGGCGGCGGGTGCTCTGACTGTTTCATCCCAGGAACAAGGCGCGAATGAGACAAGCGAGAGCGCTCAAGCTTGGCAGCAGCAGAATCAAGCTGTTGAAGCCATCATGGCATTGATACAACGGCAACAGGCAAGTGCAGGGGCCGCAGACGTTCAGCAGCCATCGTCACCTCCGCACGAAAGTACCAATATGGAAAGCAATGTTGAAGCTGCACTTACGTCTGCATCCCCACCAGCTGCTGCCTCCCCGGGACAAAACCCAAACCAGGTACCACAAAACGAGGTGCAGCTAGGACAGACCATAGAAAGCCTGCTCTCGTCGATGCAGTCAAGTGGAGGAGGGCAACCCGTGTCCTTAGCATCGTTGCAACAAATATTGGCAAGCAACACATCGATCAGACCAGATGCTTATCAGAACGCAGAGATTTTATCACTTCTTCAACAACAACTTGGCGGCGGCGAACCCGATGTTCAGCGAGGTTCTGGCGGTGCTTCAGGTGCTTCTGAGCCCGAAACTGCGAGGCGTTTGTTGTCGGCCTTGACAAGAGAATCGCAGGTGAACCAAGATCAAGACTTGGCAGCCTCGCTTCTGAATGCAGCAGCGGGACGTCCCGGTGAGACCAACGAAGATCCACCAGCTCAGGGTCCAGCAGCGCCTTTCATCGATACATTGCAGCATCAACCATCAAGAGACGCTTTAATGAGTGTGCTCCAGCCATTTCAGGATGGAGGAGCTGCCAGTGACGTGCTTTCATCCATCTCGCAGCAGCCTCAAGGCGCAGCATATGCAATGGGGGCTCTCTTGCAACGGATGCAGGAGTCTCTCACGCAAACTACAAGCCAGGAGCATTCTGAGCTCCGTTCTCCGGTGGCTCAGCAACCAACCGGTGCTGGAAGTTCAGTCGAAAGCATCGCGGCGTTGCTTCAGGAGCATCGGCCGTCATCATCGGGCGGAGGAACGTCTTCCTCTCCTACCCAAGGAAGCGAGACTCTGAACAGCTTAACCCCCGAAGTCCTTGCTGCACTGCAGCAACTCCAAGGTCCTGGCGGTTCAGGTTTAAACTTGTCACGTCTCAACCAAGGACGTCAAAGCGAGAGTCGAGCTGCAATAGCTTCGCCTGCGTCGAGCCAGAGCCGGAATCACGAGGTTCTCGAGCTGGTGGAGTCCCTACGAAGACGGCATAGAGAGGACCCCTCGATTCAGGGGATTCTGAGCAAGCTTCAGGGCCAACTGAGCGAAGCTGATGAGGGACATCTGAGCCAGTCACGAAGCCAGCCCAGTAGAGCCGAAGATGACATAATATTGAGCCAGCTACAAAACCAGTTGATTGGATCGGGTCCGGGAATTGCGAGTCAGCACCAAAACCAGCCATCCAGAGCTGGAGATGTAATGCGGAGCCAGCTTCAATCCCAGCCGAGTGAATCTGGACAGGGAGTTGGTGCGAACCAGGGGCAAGACCAGTCAACCCGAGCTGGGGATGAAAATGCATTCCGGCCTCAAGACCAATCAAGCGAAATCATGGAGCTGCTGAATCAGCTGCAATCCCAGCTGAGTGGGGATGGAGAGGGAATATTGACACAGCTGCAAAATCAGTTGGTTGGACCTGAAGAGGAAAGTGCGAGCCAGCCCCAGAACCAGCGGAATATTGCTGAATACGGAATTCTGAGCCAGCTGCTAAGCCAGTCCGCTGGAATCAGAGAGCAATTGCAAAACCAGCTGAGTGGAGGCGAAGAGTTGTTCGGTCTACTACAACAGGCCGGAGGAGATGTTGACTTGTTGGGCCAATTGCAGAACCAGCTGAGTGGTGGTGGGGATTTGCTGCCTCAACTTCAAGACCGGCTGAGCGGAAGCGGAGATTTGGTTCGCCAACTTGAAAACCGGGCTAGTGGAGACAATTATTTGTCCCATCAACAGCAAAACCAATCGAGCGGAGACAACGATTTGTTAAACCAACTGCAAGGCCAGTGGAGTGGAGGCGTAGACTTGATGCGCCAACTAGAAAACCAGCTGACTGGAGCGGGAGGAGCTTTGTCCAGACCTCAGCAGAATCAACCCTCAGATGATACGGGCTCTGGTGACCTTCTATCATTGCTTCTGCGGCAAGCACAACAGGGTGCTCAAGCTGCTGTGCTTGCTGCTCCTGCAGCGCCATCTCCTCCTCCTGCGGCAAATAACGATCTCGTGCAGCAGATTCTGGCGAACCAGGGCCTTCTTGGGGGACAGGCAGAAGCAGATGCTGTTGCGGCGGCAGCGGCTTCGGCTGAAACAACACCCGCCGACTTGGCTTTGGCACAATCAATACTGTCAGCCGTCACAGGCAATACATCCATCGCAGTCGATGATCCCTTACTGCTGCGGGAACTGATCAGTGGATTGGGAGTGTCACCACCGCAGGAACAGTCTCAGCATCACGGTTTGTCGAACCCATTGACCAACCAAGCCATGATGCCCAATAGCACACATCAGCAGAGTAATCAAAGTACCGCCTCGGCGGCCTTTTCGCCAGCAGCCAATCCTCAACAGCAGCCGACCGCCGGAGCGCCAGTTTTTGAGATGTTGCAGCAGAGGTTGCAGCAGGCGCAACATCCAGACGAGAGAAGAGCCTCAGCCCAAATTCATTCTCTACCACTTCAACAACACGGCGGGAGCCTTCCTTCCCAAGGTCAACCACAGGCGCCACAACCGCAAGGGAATCCTTTCCTGCAGCTTCTGACAAGCAGATTGTTGAGCGGAGGAGGGGGGCTTGGTGCGGCGTCGTCCCTATCGTCTCAGGTTACAGGCCACCGTTTGCACTCATCTTCTCGGATTCGGGATCCCCCCTCCTCACCCAGAAGAGCTGACGAGGGGAAAGATTCCAAGGAAGACAGCGGCGAGGAACGGGAGGGAGACAAGAGAGCATGATGATGATCGAAGAGTTGGGGCCCGCGATGGGATTGTCATCCATTCATCATGAGACTGATTCAAAGACAAAGATATCACCCTTTTTGACTGCGAATGCACCGCAATTTTCCTTAAGGGAGAACTCGGGTGGACAAAAAGGCAGCTTACTCTGAATCATGAGGGTACTATTGCAGTGGCAGCCAACTGGATTCCAAAAAGGAGGACACCGTTGATTACCAATCCGTAAACCACTTTTTTAGAAACCACACCTTCTCTACTACGGTATCTGATCACTTTCCCGACGCTGGTGCCTACTCGACTAGACTCACCATCAGGAAGCACCCTTCCTGCCATAGAAGACTACATACATACATACATAGAAGACTATAGCTGCGGAGAGGGCATGCGTCATCATAAGTGCATCTCCGGTGTGCTGCGTTTTTTAGGGGTCCGCTTGACACCGCTGTAACTCCTCTGTACTAGAGTACCGGTATCCTCTTCCCTTTCTTTGCCACGCTCCTCTGTGGCAAGCGGCAATGTGTTCTGCGGTAGCCTACTAGCTAGTAGTTTTTTTAAGCCAGGGAACCTGCTTTACTACGACGCAGCTGTTTCCGCAACTTCCGTCCGTACCACAGTGTTGTCACAGTAGAGTTAGGGCTGGAGCAAGGTTTAAAGCAGAACAGGCGTTTTGGTATTTAGAAACAATCAGTGGCCCGGCTTTCAACGCACCTCTAGCGATTTTTTGGTCGTTGCGGTGTGCTCAACTCCCGTTCTCATTGGTCTCTGTTGGATTGGACAGTGCTCTCTTGTCCATTCCAACAGGGAAGAAGTGCTTTCTCGTTCAGTACAATTGCCAATCGTTCGAACAATCTATCTCGAGATTGAGGTGAGCAGTTGAGAATGTCATTATTTTGTTGATTCTTTCCCCCCAAATCTCTATTTGAAAGATGAACGAGGATCACGGTGCCACGAATTACATGACGGCGCTGGTCATGGCTGTTACGGCGAGGGTGGCCGAGGACAAGGCCATCCTTATGGAAAGGCTTGATGCAGCTTCTGGGGATTCCAATGACACGCTGTTTGGTTCGATGGTGGTAACACTACTGTTCGTTCCATTCAGCATCTACTGCATGATTGTGTTTGTCATCTTTGGCGTTGAATGTTACCAATTCTTTGCCGTATGGAACTTGGTATCACGGACAAGAACCAACAACGCAGGAATCATAGACGACGTTAGCTTGAATCCCCGAAGAAATCATCCAGTCTATAGCGAAGACCTGAGGGTGCAAGATCGGGAACAACGTAGCGAAGCCATTCGGGAAAAACTTGAAACCAATGACTTCCATTGCGAAGATGACGTCGCAACCACCAATCATAGACATTGTACCAAATCAACATGTACAATATGCCTGTGTGAATTTGTAGACAATGACAAGGTTTCAACCATTCGAGATTGCAGCTGCTGCAAAAACAGGGATCATCGCAGCAGCACTGGCAACCACCATCAAGGGAAGTACGGAACCAATCCACACCTGTTTCACGATCACTGTCTGACGCAATGGCTAGAGGAGTCCCCGTCCTGTCCATACTGCAGAGATCAAATACTCCCGCCATTAGAAAAGGAGAAGGGGATTGGCCGTGGCACCGTGCAACTTTCAGAGTCTTTGGAACTCGCCTCGCTAGAGGTCGAGCACTATCTTTTCAATGCCTTGACCATTTTTGGTAGTCTTGTGGCATCCTCTTATACCTACTAGCTAGCTACCGGTATACCTAGAAGAGCTGCAAGTTGTCGCCGTCTCGAGAGTAGCAAACGTTCCGTGTAAACTAATGTACATTAAGTTTAGTTTCTCTGCGCTGAAGCCTTACGAGTACACGGACCGAGTGATGATGGCAGCCTGGTACTTGAACACTACCTGGTACTTTGAGAAGCAGGACAAGCAGCAGCTCTGCTCCGTCAGCTCTGAACCTACCCAAACCAGAATGATGAACAATACGTGGGTACAGTGTAGCTAGTTTTCATAGAGAGTTTCCTAGCAATAATCTTTTAAATGCCACTACAGTCGTACGGCGCTACCTCTCCTCGTTGAACCAACACACAAGAACCTCAAGTTTCATCCAATTCAGGAACATATCGGGTCGCCCACCAACTGTCGTACGCGTCCTCCTGCGCCACCCGACGCTTGTGGGTTCGTTCTTCTCTCGACATGGGCTTTTCCACCATCTCTCCCAGCTTGCGATAACGTTTGCGACTAAAGTTGACCGAGTCTCGAAACTCCTTGCCATCTCGGGCTCTTGCGTATGTGCAATACACAATAGGACGAGGTTCCTTGCTGGTGTTGGCAAGGCCGCGGTGCCCCAAACGATAGTCAAACATGACAGGGACACCCTTTCTTGGCAGCGGCGTTTCAATGTAGCGCTTTTCCCAATCCTCTTGGCCTGGTGTTAGAGCGGTGGATGAAATGATTGTGAGAAACGCCAGTGATATGCATCAATGAGATCCCTTGAACAGAACGTACCCAAAATGTGTGAACCCAAGCAGAATTCAGTGGGCCCGTGCTGCATAGTCATGTCCACCAATGGCGTAAAGACGTTGACGGAGTGACACGGCTTTTGGCTGTTAGGGTGCAAGTGGGGACCGTCCTGGTGGTATTTCTGGTTCGCGGCATCAGGCAACGAAAGGAAGCACCCTTTGTGAATCAATACAACATCGTCACCCAACACTTGCTTCACAATCGGCATCCAAGGTGCTTTGCTGATGTCATTGAGAAAGTCAAACTTCTTTGTTTCAAACACTGGTAATTCCATGTCATATCTGCGGGGATACATTCAAAAAGAAAGAATCAAAAGGATGGTTAGGTGATTTATCCGCTTTAGGGTGGCATAGCTTGGGTAGCTTACCTTCCTCTTCCACGCTCCCTCAAGACATCAAACCCATCTGCCAGCTCCCGCGTCAAGTCCTTGGCTTTCACAGTCCTCATGACGTCTTCGAAGTGTTCCATGCAAGCGTCGTGGCATAGTTTGATTTGTTTTTCCGTCAAGCAGTAGTGGGTTGTAGGTTCGAAATAGATAGCTTCTGCTTCTTCCTCCTCTTCTTGCTTTTTGGCAGCTGCTGCCACTTTCTTCGTCTCCTGCTCACGCAATGCTTTTGCTGCGGCTTCTTCCGCTTCATAATTCCTACGAAAGCGAATCTCGGCACTTTCCTCGTTCACACTGTTGCCCAGCTTGCCATTGTCATCAGCATGAGTAGCCACTTCTTGAACCTGGCTCCCCCTATTCGGACTCACACCAGCTGGCTCGCCAAGTGGTGGCGACGGTGAAATGGGAGTGGAGGTGTTGGCACTAGACGGCACGCGGCTTGCCGCAGGCGAGCACAGAGTTTTCAGCTCTGGGTCGTCATCGTTCCCTTGCTTGACACGGAGGTGGCCAGATGTAGATGCTCTAGTTGCTGTAGATTTCGCCGCCTTCCTTTGTCGTTTCGTCGCTTTTCTTTTGGCAGAGGCAAGGCCCTTGGTGACCCAACCTTCAATCTCCTCCTTCAATAGTGCATACGAATCGGCCGGAAATATTTTCAAGCCCTGCGCTAGGAGCTCCTTTTGCTTCCGATTGTCACTAATGTATTGTCGTCGTGCAGGCCCTTTCAAACGCTTGAGGTTGCGTTCTTCATAGTCCTCCGGTGACTCGCCATTAAAATATGCATAGTGAATCTTACGTTGGTAGGCCAAGTAAGGTTCAAGTGGGTGGGGAGGAATCGTGTTTTTGTCGCGTTGAATATTAGCCAAAGTCTCTGAAGCCCGGCCCTTCCAACATTCAAGTTCGGCTTCGCTCATAATCTCCCAAATGGCGCGTTCGTTGTCAGTGGCAAACTGAACTTCTTCGACATCGTCTTCATCACTAGTATCGGACGCTGCGCCATTATTGCTCTTGACTTTGGATAATCTCGCTTTGGCAGCCGGTTTTTTGTCGGAATCTTCATCGGCAACTTCGTCATCTGTTTCATCACCACTGCCAGTGTATTCTCCATCCTTTTCAGCATGTGCAGAACGAAGGCGATCGTCGTTGTAAAGCTTTTGATGGAAGGATGCTTGGGCCTTGGTTTCCCAGGATTTGCGTTGTTCGGCGGATAACTCTTGTTTCCATAAAGTCCGCAACTCTCGATCCGCATCAGCCAAACCAAACTTTACAACGCCAGCTGGCTTGGCGCTATTGTTGTTGCTTTTGACAGGGGGAGGAGTAGGCATCCCTACCTTTTCCAAAGTCTTGCTCTTGGGCTTTTGATCCATGTCCTCTTCCTCAGCGACTGGTTTGTTGTCGTAGTTTCTCTTTCTGGGTTTGCGTTTGGCTTCAGCCTTTAACTCTTTGAAGCGGGCTTCCTGATGAGCCACACGGTGGACAGTCACAAATAGTTGCATTCCCGTCATTCGTTTCCGCTTTTTGGGTGGTTCCGTAGAAGCAGTGGTGCTCAAACTTGCCACGGCTTTCACGTCGGTTTCTCCGTCAACTTTGAGAGCTGGTTGTCGATTTTGCTTGGCGTACATCTTCTTGTAGCGATCATTTTGCCAATTCTGCTCTTGTCCAACAATCCAGAGTCCATCCCTCAGAAACCGGACCTTTCCAGCCTGCAGTGTCTGTTTCCGATTCGGTCGAAACGGCTTTAAGGCACAACCATTCTTGCCACGTCCATAGATGAACCGGTCGACAAACTGTTCCGCTTTGGCAAGTTCTACGGCATGATCCCACGCAGCCTTGCGAGACTGAAAGATTTGCCGAAGGGGACACGTCCATTTGAGTGTAATGGTGGGAAGAGGAGCACCTGACTTGGTATCCTTGCGATGATCCCAAGCAACCTGTGACAATGCCGAGACTTCCCTGCCTACTAGTGATTCCATTCGCTGGACTTCTTCCTCTGTCAAATTGTCATACTCTTCTTCCGGCTCTTCCTCCGCATCCGAGTCTTGGGCATCCCTGAGTCGACGGACGCCCTCGGCAGTCTGTTCATATCCGGGAAACTTGGGTGGATCCGGGATTTTTTCCAACAAATGTGGCAACACCGCAAGTTCTAGCTTTCCTCGGAACCAACGGAAAAAGGGAGAACCCGCATTGGCGTTGTCAGTGACACGGCAAATGATACTCCAGGGACGTCCCCCGTACTTGGGCAAGAGCCGCGTCTCGCGATCGTCCAAACACAATGCCAGTTCATCGTAGAGAGTTTGCCGTATCTTGGCACTGGGAACTTTGAATAGAATCTTGCGCTTTTCTCCTTTGGGAGGGTTTTTCATATCGGCTAGAGTGACAGTGCCCACAAACACTCTCTCTCCCGTTTCGGGACATGTCATGAATTTAGTAGCAGGAGGAGGTTGAGCTGCCTTTCTGGGAGGTGTAAACCTCTTTCGAGCAACTACTGGAGCAGCTTTCTTCTTGGCTGCAGCAGGAGCGGGTTTCTTTTCCTCCTTGAAGGAAGATGGAGCCGCCGCTCGCGTGGGACGGATCTTGTAAGGCTGGCACTTCACTAAAGTAGCAGCTTTGGCCTTGACTGGCTTCTTCTTCTCCTCCTTGAAAGAAGTTGGAGCAGCTGCTCTTGACTGAAATGAAAGATAATCATGTAAGAAAAAGAAAAAAGAAATCGCCATGTTAGTCTCACGTTGACACCGCCAGCTAGCGCTTGCCTCTGCGCGTCGTCGCCATGGTCGAGGATCGCTCATTGCGGCAAAATCCGAACATCGGCATTCGTCCACTAAACTTACCCTGCCTTTCGCCATGGTGCTCCCTTTTTCGGTTCGATACCCCACAGAACTTAACTAGATGGGGATCAGCTATTGCCAATAACGGTTTGATGCAGACGAATGGAAGCCTCTTCACACCTTGCTTCTATCACAACAAACAACACACCGCCAATGAAGTTTTAGAAGGGAGGGGAGACGAAGCAAAAATTGTGTGGCCTCGGCTTTTGTGAGACACGGAAAAATCTTAGAGAGAGAGCATAACTAATAATCTTTTTAGAAGAAAAGATTTAGTACTCCATTTTGACAGCAAAATGAGTGCTAACTATGGCCAGAGAAAACTCCAAAGGCGTTGACTTGACAGAGGAATTCTCATCCATTATCACTGCTGCGCTTTTAATTAAAAGAAGGAAAGCCCTCAAGCAAATACTGTACATCTGAAACCGCCAGAAGCACTCTCTTTGGAAATGAGCAAATCCAAAAGAATTTTGGCAGAACCTTTTATTGCAAGCGCGGGGAACTAGCTATGATAGTCGCACAGTTTGTATCAAAGGTACCGGTAGGTTCTTCGGGCTCTGCATTCCATTGTTTGTTCCTTCTAATATGTGGGAGTTGCTGTTATAATCTTGTACCTCCATCCTCTTGGGAGCGCAAATTCTGGCAGTACTGGGCCTGAGTTTGGTCCTAGTAGCTAAGCTAAGGTTCGCACCTTCAGGAGATGAGCCTGGAATTGGTCCAGGTCAAGGCAGGGAATGACGCTGGGCATTGGTTCAGGTGTTGGTCCTGGCTTCGGGGCTCCGAGTGGGCCAGGCATTTGGAAGTTTGTTTAGACCGAGGTTGGATCACGGGGTGGTGCTTGGTACTGGTATGGGCGTAACTGGGGAGCATTTTTTGGTCCGTCCATAGTATACACTGGAGATTGGGTGGCCCTGTAGATAGATGGGGATGACTGGGGCTAGCTAGTGTTGGCTGGGGCTGATGTTGGCGTGGGTTCAGGTGCAGGCGTAGGAGATTGGTTGTGGTGTGGGACTAGCTAGCTGGGCGTTGGGCCTGACGGTGCTAGCTGAGTTGAGTCGATGGCTGAAGCTTCCAGAATCGTGTCGACTTGTCTCGCTATCTACCGGTAGGCTCGAAAAGAAAAGTCTCAACCTTCTTGACCTGGGCTCCAGATTATTTGCTGGAATTGGCAACTTCCTGTTCGGACAACGTAGAGGTGGTCGTTTGGAACGATATCGTGCCTGCAGATAGCAGCATCACAAAGGATACTAACTAAATCGTAGCAAAGCCCACGATTCGATTCTAGTAATCCACTAGCGAGCTCGTGAAGCACTCGTAGAAACCTGCCCAGATTCTCGTTTGAGAGACTCGAACTCTACAAACGGGCGGAAAGCCAGTGCTTCTTCCCATTCCAATAGAGTGGCTGCCAAAGTGGATTGATTTTTTGATTCGATTCTCGCCGTCACCAAACTGCGTGAGGCATCCATGGATGTCGTATCCTCAATTGGATGATAAATCCATGACAGCGTGAGCGGATGTTGCCGCCCTGGGATTGCTTCGTGTGAGTGGTTCTTGCTGCTCTTGCCTGATTTTCCAGAGGCCAGTTCCACAAGAATTGTGGAATCCAAAGATTTCTGGAAGAGTTGTATTGTGGATTGTTGTTTCTGTAGCGTAGCGTTCAGTCCTGTAGTCGAAAGGATTCTTCATTTTCAACTCGACGCTTGAGTAAACTGGTACATCGTTTCATCAAGTGCTCAAAGGCTTGGTCCGCATTGGGTTGCATATAAAACTGATCAATGCGATCGGGGAATTCAATTTGCAAGTCTTCGGATCCATAGGAAAAGGCATCGTATTCTTCTTTGGGCATGAAAGGACGTAACAGATGCAGTACAACGAGCAATACCGATGGCATGCGCAAACACTTGACCTGTTTGCGTCGATAGGGGAGTGACGTGAGGAGTTCATCCACGGATTTTAACTCGGCCTTGAAACACGCATTCTCCCAGCCAACATCATCGCATTCAAAGACTTGGCGAAAGCCATCTCGGACACTCGTGAGATCGGGTTGTGTACACAATATGGAATAGTAAATGGAGCCAATGCTGCACCGAAAGTCTTTGGGGTTGTCCAAGAATCGAAGCGGAAAGTACTTGGCCAAGTCCATGACTAGCGCGTGCGATCCTCGTCCGTCATCATTGGGACATTCTTCAATGGAGAGCAACATGCCAGGACAGATGTCTTGTTGTCGTCGAAAGATGTCAATGCCTTCCTGAACGGCATCGTTAATGTTGTACTGCATTCGAAAGGCTTGCAGACACTGCGCTCGCTCCAGAGACCGACCCACATCATCTCGATCCACAATGGCAAAAATGGCAATCTGCATGTCACTAAAGACCTTTGCACAAATCTCATCGTCGTCTGCAAAGGCTTCTTTGATATCGAGAGCCCACTGCTTTTCTTGCGCTGTCAGTTCCATGGTGGGATCCACATCGGGCAATTTCCGTTTGCGACTGGTGGCAGAGCCTGCAGCAGAATTATTATTCACAACCACAACATCTTCGAGAGCCATGGTTATCACAACAACAACAATGGAAGAGCGGTAAGGATTCGATTTGACTTGACTCGACTCGGTCTATCTCGCTAACTAACTAACTAACTAACTAACTGTATTTGATAGAGAGATTCTGTTGGTTGAGGAGTCTGTCAAAATGTATCAAACAACTGCTACGGTACCGTAGATCTGAGTAGTGCCAGATAGGGATGACCGTCCGAAGATACAGCCAGATAGTTGCGGCAGTTCAGGGGAAGAACAGTGGGGGGAGCAGTTGAAAGCTGCTCTAAAGCTTCATCGGCTGTCACTCAGCACTGTTCAGACGAGTTACGAGTGGACTATTTGGTTCGGTTCGGTTCGGTTCGGTTCTGCTGTTGCTACGGACTGCTCTGGCGGTCATGAGCTGTGATTGGGCGGCGACTGCCTGTTCATTGACTCGACTCATGCTTGAATAGAGGGCTGCTTACCAATTTCGTCTTCTGGAGACGATTTGCTTTAGGGGTAATGGTACCGATGGGGGCAGAGGTTTGAATTATACCCGGCGCGCATTACTTAGAAGGCCATGTAGAAGTCTACGTATTCGACTAGTATTGTATTGACGGGATACAGTCAACGCATGTACATGCACATGAAAGTCGCCTTGCGTTCTTCACATTTTAAAAGTTGGCTCCTAATTTTTCGGGGTCGCC